GAATGAATAATAAAATAAATAATAAATAAATAAATAGGAATCTGTCAGGTTTGATTGATTCTCTGTGACTGTGATTTGAAGTTGCTTCAGGGAGGAAACTCCTTCGCCAATAAAAACCTGTCGTGTATTTTGTGGGTCAGTGGGGTAAAGATGAAGAGTATTGGATGGAACAATGTACTGTACTGTATGTAGAGCAACACTAATGTACTCTGAGAGTGGCCTTGGTGTCTTTATGGCTCAGTGATTGTCTTGTCTGTCTTTGTGCGTATGTGTGTGTTTGTGTGTATCTGTGCATATACCATACTGTATATACTATATCTGTGTGTGTGTGTGTGTGTGTGTGTGTGTGTGTGTGTGTGTGTGTGTGTGTGTGTGAGTGAGTGTGTGTGTATCTCTCTCTATTTTTAATCTGCACACATACACAGTATATTGTATGTGTGGGTGTGTGTAATCACTTCTCTCCTCTGTCCTTGTTAGAGAAAATCTTTTGGCTCGTCAGACTCTGGAACAAAACATCGTCCACACCGGAGCGACAGACCTGGATGTAGCCATGTTCCACAGAGACGGAGGTAAACACACAGAGACAAACAAACCAAGTACACAAACATGACCATGGTCAAAAACACAATCACACATTTTTAACGAGCACTAGTGACACATTGCCCATTTCTTCATCCCAGGAACTCTATTTTCCTTTACTTTCTCAGTCCAAATGGGTTACATTGAAGATTAAGCTCACATACCAACAAGGAAGAATAACAACTCATCAATCATTTCTTTCTTTCATTTTTACTTTTTCTCCTTCTCTCTTCTCATTTATTGCCTTTCTGCCTCTTTCTTTCTATCTTTGCCTCCCTTTCCTTCTTCTCCCTCTCTTCTCCCAGGTGAGGACTCTGATTCGGACTCAGACCTCTCCATGGAGGAGGAGCGAAGTCTCTCTATCCCTTCCTCTGAGAGCGAGGACAATGTCCGGCTACGTGGGCGCATCCAGCGGCGATTCAAGCGCTCCAATCACAGCGAGCGCCTGCTCACCGAACCCACCCACAACGGCACCAAAGGTAGATGAGAACATTAGTGATTTACATCCACATTTTTTATTGGTGAAAATACAGGCAGAGCACACTTTTTGTTTGAAGGTATGTTAGGATGTTAAAAAAAATTAGGGCCAGATGAAAGTGTGTTGTTGCTTTTTAAGGCATTTCTTTGCTAAGTTAAAAAGTAATGGTTACGTGTCTTGCTCTAGCACGCATTTGATGGATAAATGAGAAAGGCACTTACATGTTTGCACAAAGCACTAGAGCCTATCCTATCTCACACTGGGTGAAAGGAAGAATACACCCTGCACAGGTCACCAGTCTATTAAGAGGACAACACATTTGGACGAACATTAATTTATACACCTTCAGGCCATTAAGAGTCAGTTAAGCTTACCTGCATGTCTTTGGTGTATGGGACAAAACCCACACAAGTGTGGTGTGAATATGTCCATACAGAAAGGCCCTTGTCATCTGCTGTAGAAAAGGTTCTCAGATATGTAGAAACATACAAGAGAAAATGTCAGTGCCAGTAGTCATTAATCAATATCTTCTTTCTTCTGATACACATGAAAAAATATCATGCATAATATATGAGTTTATGCACTTCAAGGTATGTGTTATAAATGTCATGCATATACAATGTTCTGTGAAAGGTTTCACGATGAGAAAAGGCCAGACATGTGCAAATCTATAAATCAATATAAGTAATCAATTCTTAGCTAAATAACCCATCTGGATCACGTGAACTCTATTCAGGGTAAAGCATGGTCCAGAGCTTTCAGTTGAATAGAGGAGGACAGGATCCAGATGGCCAGTACAGTCCAATCAATTCATCAATGCAGTCAAACAGAAGGGCCAGAGCAGTGCTGAGGGATATGGGCTTTTTACTGAAAGGTCACAGTTTGAAGATGACGGCATATTCGTTGTGACAAAGCATTAATCCCCTAATCTATTTAGGAGAGCCATCGACTGGGCAGTGTTAGAGGACTGTGCATAACCGAGTGTTAAGTGTTAAGTGTTAAGTGGACAGCTGAAAAATACTTTTCTTGTTGCTGCATTGTTTAAAACCATGTTAAAGAGGTAAAAAAAAAAAGGCGTGCTGAACTCTTAACGATTAGAACAATATGTGGTTGTCAAAGTAAGTGCTTGTATTTTGTAGTTGTAATGAATAATGATTATTGATGGACAGAAATTAATCTGCAATAATTTTGATAATGGATTAATCGCTATGTCATTTATCAAGAAAAAACTTCAAACATCATCATCATTATTGTAAAGTGAATCTCATAGTTGATCTGAGAAAACAAGCAATGTGAAGACGTCACATTGGGCTCAGATATTTTAAGACTGGTCATTTTATTCACTATTCTTTGACTTAATTTAATTTTAAAAAATTATTGACAGATTAACTGATAATGGAAGGAATCTATAGTTGCAGCCCTGCAAGTGTGACCATACCACTTTATACTGGGATTTTCCAAATGACACTGATTGTCCTAAAGGGTTGATGTAATCACACAAAAAACGAAACATACTGAAAGGGGAACTCCACCATTTGTGGGAGAAGATGTGTACGTTTTCATGGAACAGTGTGTGTTTTACATGTTAAAACCATGATTTTTTCCCATTCGTGATACTAACATTTTTAATTTGTCCTGGTTGTCATTTCATAATGAACATATGCTATTTGTCTCCTGACACCTGCTATATGATACAGACATCTGTTTTGTGTTTGTTAGGATGTACATGCGGCAAAAGATTTTGCATAATGCTTGATGTCAAATTAAAAAGATGAATATGAGGCATAAGTTCATATCAGCAGCTTTGCGGAACTGGTGTTTACTGGCTTTAATAATACATACAAATCATAAATACATTAGTGTGACAGGGATAATAGTGATTATTGTCCACTTTCCCGAAATGTCTCCTTTTTACTTAATGAGCTTTGTTGCTGAACATGTTTGCCACAGCAGATTTCACATCATGAATTTTTGTTCTTTTTGTGTGTGACAGATCTCGATGGCAATGACCTTCTGTCATACTGGCCAGCTTTGGAGGAGTGTGACACACACACCCTGCAGAAGTGGGGATCAGAGCGCCCCCTGGGGGCAGATTACAGCAAGGACGCTGCTAACAACAACCAGCCTGATGCAGCGCTGACCAGTGGGGACGAGAACGGCCTCACCCAGCCACACAGGCACCGCAAGGGTGAGAAAAACACAAAAACAGACACATCCACAAAAACACACAATCTAAGGGCACACTGACATTTTGGATTTGCTTTTAATATTATTGTAATCTTTGTTTTGTTCTTACCCAAATTATAATTCAGCATGAGATAGATTTTTTTTAAATGTTTTAAATTGTAGAGACACTGGCACATGGGAACTGATTATGAAGCATACCTTTAAAAAATGAGGTAACAAACATACAAAAATAATGTTCATTAACAATGTAGTTAACAGATTAATTAACAGATATGTACCTATAAGAAATGTGTGATTTTGTTCTTCTTTCTTTATTGTTGCTATGTTACATTTGCAGCTTTGGAGGGCAAAAATCAAGTGTAATTTTCAGTTTTTATAGTTTTTTGGCTGTGCCTCTTCGGGTCAGTGTCCAGCCTGTATTCTATTCTAAGTATATTATCTTGTTCATTATACTGTTTAATAAAAATCTCCAGACATCCTGTCTTACGGGTCATCAGAAGGAAAGTAGGGCATTTTGCCAAGAGCAAGAAAGGAGATGTTAGCTGTGGAGCTGAATCAGCAAAGCATCATTTAAAAGACAGCTCAGTATCTGAGTCTTTATCTGCTGTACATGCAGTTCGTCTGTTATACATTTTAATTATTTCAGTACACGCTCCCTGTGAACTAGCATTGCCCTCTCTTGTAAGGATGTCCCCCAAAATAATTATATCTTATCTATTATTTTTGTTTTAATTCTTTGTTTATCACATGTGCATATCACGCAGGACTTGGTGTACCGCCACATAAAACTGCAGCTGAGTGGCCCCTATGCATAAAAAATGATTTGAACAACACAGTGTCCTGCTTCAGTCAAGGTCTAAATCTGGCCCTAAAAGCATGGGTGACACTTTTATATGTGCAATATGTTCTATACTCAGAATACATACATATAAAATTGGCAAGTGTGCACATACACACAGAGGCACACACATATGCAAAGACACACTGAGAGTGAGTGAGTGAAGAAATGCAGGCAAAGTTTGAAATCAGTCATGTTGCCTGGAAGCATGGATGACATTTTGAGGAAAGTATTAAAACACACAACACATTTACACACACCCACGCACACACACACACACACACACACACACACACACACACACAGGCTGAAAGCAAGGAACCAATGTATTTTAGTTTCATGACTCATTTTGAAGTCTCCCTCAAGATTTCGAGATTACTCAGATGGTATTTTGATTTATAAAAAAGTTAACCGCGAGCGCAGACCTAAATACGTCATTAGTTAGTTCAGAACACTTCTCTATCCCTAACTTCCTTTTCTTCTCGTCCCCCTTCCACCATCTCACTTCTCCTGCTTACTGCTTTCCCCAACGTCACCTTCAATCCCTGTATCCACTTCTTACTCTCCTGGTGCCTCAATCCTTCTTTAACTTTCTTCGTATTCTCTCCTCCCAGGTATCCTGAAGAATCGTCTTGGCTGTCCCCCAGCACTCCAGGGTCTTTCCAGCATGGGCCGGGTCCCCAGTGAGCTCAACTGGTACCGAACCTCTACTTTGGGCCACCGGGGCGTTCCTGCGGCCTCTTACGGTCGTATGTACTCTGCAACGGCTGGTGCCAGTGGAGGTTCCGGCTCTCTTTCCCAACCAGCTTCCCGCTACTCCTCCAGGGAGCACCTGGACTCGCTGGCCCGGAGGCAGCTGTCCAGGGATCCACTAGGGAGGCAGACGATTGGGGGATCAAGGGACCGGCTGGACTCCCGTGGTTCTAGGGACAACCTAGATCTCTTACCTAGGAGGAGAGAGCTGGGGCAGGGAGCAGGGCTAGGAGCCTTGGGGCTGGAGTCTCAGCGAGTCTCATCCTCCAGGGAGAACTTGACAGGATCCAGGGACAGACTGGACAACCACCACACAGGAAGTGTCCACGCTTCGAGGGAAGACTTGAGTGGAAATGGAGGTGCGGGAATGGAGGGATACCTCAGTGGATCAAGGTCGCAGCTGAACACGCTAACTCGACGGCAGGCCTCGTCCCGGGAGCATCTCGGGGGGCGCTGATGAGCAGTAGGTCGAGAGAGCAGCTGGATACCAACGGAGTCGGAGCCCAGGCTCAGCCGTGTCGGGAGTGGCTCCGCACTCTGCCACCCCGGCAGCCCTCGCACCCCGACCAGCCTCCCTCCTCCTCCCCTCCTCCCCCAATCTCCGAGGAACCCCAGCAAGAGCAGCACCCTGCTTCAGCTCACGTCAGAGGACGACTGGACTCTGCACCTCCCTGTAGGTACCCCGGTCAGACTGTCCCCCAGGTCGCAAGTTCAAATCCTAACCCTCTGGGTCGACAACCATCCAGTGAACATCTGGATATTCTGTCCTCCATCCTGGCATCCTTCAGTTCCTCCGTCCTCACTCCTCCCCCCGCTGCATCTAACCCTGGGCCTAATGGCTCTGCCCACGGACCCTCCCCCTCCCCGCCTCAGTCTGCCACCTCCCATAGCATATCTGAAGTCTCCCCTGACTCAGAGTAAGTCCTTGTGTGTGAATAAATCTGCCTCAAATGACCCTCTCCTTCCATCTTCTTATTCTCCTCATTATGTTGCACTTTGATCCTCTGTAAACATCCTCTTTGACTTTCACATTCCTGCATCTACTCCCATTTCCTCCCCCCTCAGCAGCTCCGTAGGGATCATGTCCACTCTTCAACTCATTGCCTCACCTCTCTTATTGTTCCTTTTCCATCTCTTTTTATCTCAACCATGCTCATCTTACTCATCTCCCTCAGTTCCACTTCATACTTTTCAACTTCTTTATCTTCTAGTCCCTCGTGTCTCAGTCTATTTTATTCTGTTTCACAGTTCTGTCTCCTTCTTCTCTCTTTGTCTTTCTACCTCTAACAGATCATTTCATGTATTTATATTGTCATTTTCATGTCTAAGTGAATTTCCAATCCGTGGAGAACTTGCTTTATAAAAGTATTGATGACTAATCTCCCTTTCCTTTACCTCAGAGCCAACAGAAGTGAAGGACAGTCTTGATGAAAGCCTCCATATCCCTTTATGCATTGCGATAGTGCTTGGAACACCAGGGACAAGTTCAAAGGTCATGGATGGCCCTGAACCAGTGAGACACCCTGGGACATTGGAGGACTAGAAACAAACTTGAGACAGAGGAGACACAGAGTTGGAGAGAAAGTAATACAGAGAGGACAAAAGAGGATGTTTGTGGGCGGTTTGTACTGTATAAATTAAGTTTTTCAAGTCCCACTGCCTACAATGATCTGTGACATTTCTTTGGACGATGAGTCAACCACCTCTACTACCTAAAAACTGTTGAAGACAAACACAAACTCCTCAGATTTCAAAGGCAAAAGTCATCTTGATGCAGACAAGATCCGTCTAAAAGAGAAAAAAAAGAAAAGACTGTAAATAACATTTTTATACATTTTGTATCTTTTTCATTGGAGATGAAGAAGAAGTCTCTTGTGATGTTTTCTTTTTTTTTAAATGATTGTGTCCGTGTGAGGCTGTGAGTGAGGTTGATGCGAGTGCAGTCGTGTTCGTTGCTGAGGGAGAGAATTTCCCCTAGAAAGAAAAAACAACCCCCAAAATTTCTCCCTGAAAACAGTTTTCCTAAGAAACTTTTCTTCATCAACTATGTGTATAGCGACAGGGGTCCGGCAATAGTATCTGATGAGATTATCGAAACTACGACATGTGGTTGAAGGGAAAATATCAAAGTAGCGAGAAGTGATTGTAAATAGAAGAAGGGATTATTATAGAGAAGAGATTTGATGGAACAAGATGATTGTGCAGAGAAAGATGGCCAACGTTAAGCTAAAACACCACATGAGGGTTCAGAGTTCAACAATTAAAGCTCAGTCACCAGTGTCCAAGTATCAGGTCTTTCAGGAGATTGTGCTGTTTTGTGATCCACTGTATATGAATGTGACCTTGTCATCTGTCTGTGTATTTCTGTGCCTGGTGCTGTCTGACCCAGACCATATCAGTCGATTGATATTATAAGACCATATCTTTAGTGTTCTGGAGACCTGGTGGGTGAGGGTAGATGTCTGTCTGCCTCTCTCTGCATGAGGCTGTATCATGTAACAACCATTTAAAGCCCCTCAAGGCATCTTGCACTTTGATGCACCACGACTCAACCTGCCTCAAGAGACGCCACGGGAGCAGCCGAATCTCTCCGGCAGCATCCAGAAGACTCATTTATAAAAGCTTCTCATGCAGAAGTTCTGTTCAAATCCAAGCCAAAGGGACAACTGCTTCAGATTAGTACGATACATCAATGTTTACCGTGATGAAAATGACTTGTGCAGGGTGTGAACGCTGTAGATGTAATTCACAGTTTGGTTTAAATTGTGATTTGTTTTCATATAATTGTGCCATGGAAACAAGTCTAAAGTGAAAACATGTTTTTAATATTGAGGCCATAGATCTACGCTAAAACATAACAAACATAACACTGTGGCTGTATTTTATTTAGCTGCATACTGTATAAGCAAAGTGGATTTTGATTTGGCACGTAGGAGGAGAGCGGATCAGTGGGAAGGTATTATGAGTCACGTCTTAGTGTGCTCAGATATTTGTTTGGAGACCTGAAAGCAGACCTGCAGTACATATCCAGAATGGTATCTACCTGAATATATTAACTCCTGTTTGTAGCACATTAATCCCATGCCAGATGTTTTTATTTGCTGGGCTGAACATAGTAGCTGGGAAATTACTAAAGAATAACCTTCATATATGAGGAATTTCACAGAAAAGAGGCACTGGCTCTAAATCTGTCAAGTCCTGACTTTTCTTATGAGCTGTCACTGATGAGGAAGTTCACACCAAAACACATGAATACAGATTTGTCCTCATCGCTGTGCAGATATAAAGTCTCTTGAAAGATACAGTGTAGCTTCTGCAGCACCGTACCAGTTTGCTGAGGATGTCAGTTGTGTCAGCACTAAAAGCCTCTGAGTGGTTTTGAGATGCAGGTCTTTCCATCAGCTTCAGCTCCTTTCTCTCAGCTGTGTTCAGGCCTTAAGGTAACAAGACGCAGGCATTTGTAAGCAATGGAGACAGGCAGGCAGTCTCCACCAACCGTCAGGCGGATTAAGCGATTGTAGAAAATGGGGTTTCTGCTTGGCCAAAATGTGTCGTCTGCGTGTCCTCGAGCAGAGAGCATTGTGACAGTCCAAAAATGTTAAATAACACTAGAACAGCAAGAGAGGAAGTGGATATAAAAAAAGAATGCTTAAATAGAGCACAATGAGCATAAGAACGAGGTACGAAAACAGACAAGGTTGAGAGGAGAACAAATTGGGTCACAAACCAAGACTGTGTGCAAAATGTAACTGCAGGAAGGAGGGCGTGGACGTTGCTCATCGCAGAGAGGAAGAAAAAAACCCACGGAGAAATAGATGGAAATGTGGATAGTGGAAATCAACACACATCTCACACACCTCGCAAATGCAAATCTCCCTGCTCTGGCTGCTGCTCAGTCATTCCCATGTCTCTGGGATGTGACAAGGGAACCTATTTGTGACTAATATTGCCAAAAAATGCTCCTGCAGGGGAACGCTGCCCACTCGTCTGTTAAGGCAAACACACATAAAAAAAATCTGACTTTGATTCCTTGTCACTCTTTTCATCCAGTTTCTCGATTTATTCTAATTTGTGTTCACAGATCTGTATGTTATCATCAACTGACAGTACCTTTAACTTGTACAGACATGAGATTTATTTTATTTATTGATAATTTATTGACATTGTATTGAGTATTTATGTTGCCATTTTGTATGAGAGGTTGTTTTTTGGTCCAAATGTTCCTTTTTTTCACATGTAGTGTTTCTTATGATCTGAGTCTGTCACTGCAACAATGTCACAGAAAGAGGAAAAGAAAAGAGGGGAATGTGAAGATAACAATGTCTCTATTTACACCTAGGATTGCAATGTAGTGAGAATGCTTTTCAGCAATTTAAACTGACTTCATTGTCAAATCATGGAGGTAAAATCTTAGAAGATATGACAAAACAAACTTAAAAGTCAATCGTATATAGGTGAATCCACCCTCTCTAGACAGAATGTCAACATATCTGAATATATTCAAACTAAAAGTTGAATACTGGGTGTAAATAGTGCTGGTATGTCCCAAATCTAAGCTTTTTTCCTCCCTGTTCATTGTTATAGATCCAAGGCTTCACAAGCACAAAACCAGACCATTAACTGGTTTTGTATCTGCTTTTACACACAAGTCAGCTGTCAGCAATGGCGAAATGACAGAAAACTCCAGCCTCAGGTTAATCTGGTCCAATGAAGCCACACAAGTGAGGGGAGACAAAAACACTGGGCTGAGACGAAAAAGTTGCGATGTGCTCAGAAAAAAAGAAAAAAATGGGAGGAAGTAACAGAAGGAAGCAAACAGAGTGAGATAGTCAAGGAGAGGAGGAGGAGGGATGGGAGATTGTGTTTGTTAGATTTGTGTGTTCATTATGGGATGCCTTCTATCCCGCCGTCGGCAAGGGGACGGCGGCATGGAAACAGCTGTTCCCCTGTTACCGCGGAAACAAGAGAAATGTTGGACATTAAAAAATGAATTATTCCTACACGGCTGTGTTTATATTTATTCAGTGTGTGTCTGACAGAACAAGGTTTGCTGTTTCATATTCATGAGAACAGACATTTTCAGGAAACCGGAGCAGAGGAAACATCCTGACAGAGACACGTTTTTCTGGAAAGGCGCTCTCTCTGACTTGTTTTGACTTTCAAAGTATTCTGTCACATCCAGAGACTTCAGAGATGTTTAGCTGCCACCTTGATTCTCAGCAAAAAACCGTCAGCTCAAGACAGGAGCAGCCAGCTGAGACACAGTCATGAATAAACCTTATATTTGAAATCTGCAGGGGCTGAAACAAAAACTGATCAGTCTTGCTGTTTAATGTTTAATTGCATGGCTCAGTCGCAGGTCCATGAGACATGAAGTGCACAGTTAGATGAGAATTTCTCCCACGGTGGATCAATAAGGGAACATCTTATTTTAAGATCAATACCACTCACGCCTCTGCTGTGAGTTTGGATATGGAACCAGGAGGCGCTTAGCTTATCTTAGTGTAACAACTGAAAGCAGGTGGAACAGCTAGGCTGGCTCTGTCCAAAGTTCAGAAATATGTCTAACAGTACAAACTAACTACACTAACATAGCAGCCAGATGGCACTGACACATTTACAGAAATGAACGTGTTGTTCTGAATATAGAAAAATAAAAAAAATAAAAATTAACTCACAACTTAAAACCACAAATTGTCGATTTTACATTAGTTTTTTTTAACAGATTTAACAAACATGATATACGAATTAATAAGCAAGTTCTATAGGTTCTGGTGGATGTATGTTTGAGCTTTGGAGACAGACAGACTATCTTTTTCCCCTCACTTTACACATGCTTCACACGAGAGCAGTATCAACTTTCTCATGTAATTCTCAGCAAGAAAGTGAGGAAGTGTATTTCCTAAAATGTCAAACTTTTCATTTTAAAGAATACAACGTGTCTCAAGAAGCTATGGTTTAATTAACGGATAATAAGGAACATCATTCTTCCAAAACATTGTTTTATTTGGTGTTTTGATGATGGTGGAGAGCACCTAATATTTTACTACAAAATCTCCTTATTAAACTGGGGTTCAATCTGCTGACTGTGGAGGCTGTGATTTATATGATTCAGTGATTTCATGATGCCTGTTTAATTTACTATTTGACCAAGAGTATGGGGACACTGACTCATTATTTGTTTGTTTTTAGTTTGGGGCTGCTTTCATGTTTGAGATAGAACCCGTAGCTCCATTATTGGAAAATGCTAATGCTATAACAAACAACGATATTTAAGACAACAGTGAACTTCATATTTTGTGGCGAAAGTTTAGGGAAAACTTCTTCCTGTTTCCACATGAAGATACCCAAAGGTCAGGCCTGTGAAGGAATGGTTTTCCCAGATTGGTGTGGAGAAACTTGCAAAGAGCCACGACCTCAACCCCATCCAACACCTTCCGACTTCTCGCCCAACATAACCAGTGCTCAACCTCACTGAAGCTGCTGTGGCTGAGTGGGATCAAATCGCTTCAGCCTGTTTCCAAAATCTTGTGGAAGGCGTTCCTAGAAGAGCAGAGGCTCCAAGTTTGTAGCAAATGTAAATTTATTTACAAAGCAAATGAAAAGTGTTTAAGCATACATACTCATGTTAACATGCAGCACAAAAGAAGCTTTGCACGTACAATCATGTTAAAAGATTGTCCATTTAGGAATGTCATTTCATTTCTACATCTGTAGTGATCAGATATAATCTCAGTATATTCTTTAAAATAATGTTCTTATTTTGCTGTACGCTGCAGTACTTAAGTGTGGACTCAAGACATTTTTTCTATTGTCTCGGACTTGTCTGGGGCTCGTTGGTATTTGCCCTCGGACTTGTCTCACTTGTGTTTTTTTTCCTCCTTCAAAACAAAACCATTGATGAAGCGCACTTGATCTGAGAAAATTGGTTTAATTCAAAATCCATCTTAAACAGGCTTTAACGTTGGCTGCCTGGTAACCATGGTTGCCAATCAATGTCCATTGCAATCATATGCCTGGCTGCCAAAACTCATCTAACTGGCAATGGCAAAAGCATTCTTTCTTTTCTGTCTTGACTTGGACTCAAACCTCGACTCATCCTGGTCTTGGACTCAACAAAGGTGGTCTTGACTACAGCACTGCCTTAAACATCAATGAAGATCATTTCATTTTGAATACTGAAGCCACATTGTGATTAATTGACACATAAGACAAAACAGAATGATTGTGATTTTGATCTCAACCTACTTTTATAGGTCTGTTAGCACCACAGCTTTCACTTGTGTTGACCTTTAAATTAAGTGTTGTACTCAACTCACTTTGTGGAAGAACAGCTGTTTTAAAGCAACTGAGAATCCTTCGTCTGCATTAAAGTACAAATCAATGTATAAAAATAGTAACAGTTCAATAGCATCTAGACAAATAAAGGCAAGAATGAAATAAGCACTGATAAGAATAAAACTATTAAAACAGTTCATCCTGTCGGATCAGATGTTTTCTCCTCTTCACTGCTGCTGGGGGAAGATGGCGGCACGTCCTCGCCCATCTTCTTTAACTTGGCTTTATAGTAAGTCTTCTTCATCCTGAAGGCCTTCTCCTTCTGCCGGGCTGCTCTCCTCTTCTCCCTCACCAGCTCCTGCTCCCACGCCAGTACCTTCATCCTGTTCTCCCACTCCAGGATCTTCATCTGCTGCTGTTGCTCCAGAGCTTCTGTCCTCTGCTGGTGCTCCAGTCTCGACAGGTCGGCGGAGTCCTGCTGGGTCGAGAGCCGGGTCGCTTCCTCCGCCTGGCTGCCTGGCGGGTGGAGACGCTGGCTGATGAGCCTGGAGGTGCCTGCGAGGTCAGAGTTACAAAATGCATTGGTCCAATATCTATTGCTAAATGCGTTTTTGTATGTTTTTGTGTGCTAATCGTTTTCCTGACGAGAGAGCAAAATGCAAAAATTACATCCAGTTTCACCTGCTCATAGATTTTGGTGCGACGGTGCAAATCCCACTAAACTGGTCTAAAATCCAGAAACTATGAGGATTACAGCACGATTCATATGATTTCCATCCATTAGACGATTCAGTGATCCCTGGTGACCTGGATGGATGTTTCACCTACTTGTATCATTCATTTTATAAATACTACAGAGATTAGCTGAGTTCTTTGGAGTTGAACCAGACATCCATTTATAAATGTATTCAGCCCTCTAACATTACCACTAGACACAACGTTACATCCCCAGCATGGACTATATCTTTCCACCACTGGTATCATATATGGTGTTTACACCGCAAGAACTTACACAGGAGACCTCAAAAACCTTTGAGGAACAGACGATTAAATGTAGTTCCTGTACGATAGTTTGTGGGTAATATTTCCAGTGTTTCAGGAACTTCTAGAGGAGGAGTCTGCAGGGCTGAGCGTTGCTGATTGGTTAAACACAGACCTGGCAACTGCTGAAACCTGTGCACTGCTTCATTCATAAAACAAAGGCAGCACTGGAAGCGACTAGTATCTAAATATCAGGATGAGGAATGGACATTTGTTTAATAATGTTTTAAAAAGTGTAACCGCAAAGTTACAGAAATAGACAAAGGTTTATTTATTACAAAATATGTATTTAATTATTTAATCAAGTATTGGATCTTCATTCAGTTCTATTTTCTAAATTAAAAGTGCTATTTTGACTTAATACTGGAATATCACAGTTCAGTGTTAACGTATCCATTCAAAGCTCTAGTTTATTGAACGAGTATCTCTAGGCAACACATACTGTGGCAGAGCTTTATCTGTGGGTACCTGGTGCTGTGAAGAAGGCAGCAGGAAATGTCACATCCTGCAGCTCTGCATTGTGGGAGGTGGAGTTTGTAGTGGGGCTGTGGTGCAGATCTGACCAGTCGCTGCCTGTTATTCTGTCCAAGGCTTCACGCTGGAGGCAGATGGCCACTTGCTCCTTGGTTTCCTCAGTCTGAGACGGAGACGTTAAAGTATGTTTTAAATGATTACTTCACGCTGGCGGAAGACTTGTAATTTCTCGCATGAATAAGTCAATGAATCGTAGCTGCCTCTAAAATAATATTATATATAATCACTTTTGAATATTTACCTGATTCACATTTCCATTCATCAGCCCGGCGGAATTTATCATCATCAAATTTCCTGCTAATAAGACAAAAAGGACAGGCGGTCGGTCAGAGAGGGACAGCAGGTCAATGATTTTCAGGTAAATAAGCAGAGAGCGCCTCCCTCTGCTGGAAGCAGGTACAACATCCACATCACACCAAAACACTGAACCATAACTCCTTCTAGTATGTTTAGGGTTCAGACTTTGTAAGTAATGACTGCAAATGGACGTTAATCTATTCTGGGATATAAATCTACACTTAAATAGTGAAAAAAGTCCATAAAGTCAGCCTCAAATTTAATGTCAGTAAAGTGGTTTCAGGTTGAGTTCTGTAAATGTAAATGTAAACATTAAATTCAGGGATTATTCAATCAGTTTTAAGGCTGAATTCAAGTTTAACTGTTTGACACACTGAGTATGCTTTGGTGCAGCTGAATAATAAGGTGAGAAGTCTTTTAAATGGAGGATTTGTGTTCCAGTTGTCATGGCAGCAAGTGTACACCCAGCTAAAGTGTCCTTGAGCCGAATTACTAAATCCCTAAACAAAATTCCAGCACTGCGGTATTAAAGCTGATTCTGATCTCACTGCTGTAAAGGTAAAAAAATGTACTCCACAAACATTAAACCACCCAAAAACCATGTATGGGACTATAATAAGACACAAATTCAGATAATAATGGGATGGTAGAATTTGTATATTTGGAAAATCTCAAACATTCTGGCAGTCATGAGACTCTGGAAACACTCGAGCACCTTTATCATACTGGAGTGGAGGCAGAAATCTCAAACCTAACAAATAAAAACAAAACTATCTGTTTGGCTAGAGGTGAGAAATCATTCTTGTGATATGTAATGAACTGACCGAATCAAGCTCAGGGTTAGTTCTCAGCACCATGCTCATGTTATTAAATAAAAGATTTAGTAGAAATGACCAAATAGCAAAAGCACACATGAATTTGTATCTTAAAAAGTTGAAAAGGGCACAATATTTTAAAGATACAAATCAATGGATGGCTGCCATGCTATTTTAACAAGCTTTTAATTAAAAATGTTATATATATATATATATAAAATAGACAATATGTTACAATACAATAATGAATCCATTAATGATTGTATTGAAATGCTGTTAAACACACTATAATCACATCATTGTTAGTGAGTATATTACTGTATTTTAAGGTTAAAAAAGGTATTTATGGTCATTATTGTGACTGCCAATCATGAGCCAGAGTTTAAGTTGCTCCATCGAGAGGGACACTTGCTCAAGGACACTTCAGCAGACTGCAGATGATCTACATCTGCTCCTCATCTCCACTGCAGCTGGCTATTGTGGTGTTTAAAAGCTCTAATAGAACGACTATAAAATATAAAAGACTGTAAATGAAGACTATTAAACATATAATCACACTCCAGATTTAACACATCACTGTTGTCATGGGAAAATCTAAAACATGCACACAGATAAAGGCCAGAGGACTGTGGTTGACGACCTGATCCAGATGTTTCAGCACTTACACATCTAGACTGATGTGGCCAAACACACACACACACACACACACACACACACACACACACACACACACACGCCCATCACCAACTATAGAACTACTACAACACAAACCACAATCACACCACTTAAACAAACAGCGACGATGAATCAGTCAGTGGCACATGCACTAACAAACACTTCTGAACAATGTGGGCATGCTTTCTAAGCTGTTTTTCCCCCGTTTTAAAATTGAAGCTAAGCTACCTTCCAGTAGCTTGCGGACCGCTGCTTTGTGGCCAGCTCCCCCTGCGTGGCTGGTGAGAGCAGCCTCGCCCATGGTCCTAAGTTTGATTGATTTACCACAGGCCCTACATCGGGCGAAGTGAATGTCCTGGACGTCCTTAGCCAGCCAGTCCTTGTAAATTCCCTTTGAGAGCCAGGAGTTTTGGAATTTACATTTTCCAGGCATAGTTAAGCTGTGAAGTTAGCTGGATCGCTATGTGACGGCCAACCTCTTACCTCTATTGCCTCCTGATGCGTTCACCGTCTGCTCGGAAGATGCAATTGCAGTTTGTACCGTTGAGCGTGTTGATTTAAATGACTTAAAATAATTATTTTTGACAGTCAGGTTGTCAGTTCAATGTCTATAAAGCAGCATTGGAGCATTGAGATACTTCATGTGACTTCCTATGCTATTTATAAAAGACTTGGCATTAGAAAGTGTTGCAACTGGACAATTTTATCTGCTGCTGTAGTAAAGAGAAAATAATGTATTTATTTATCTCAATACGTTTCAGCGAGAGTTAAAGAAATAACAAAAATGTCATTTTAAAATCAATACACATATTAATGTTCACTAAATATTGTTTTTCCAGAAAACACATCAAAGCAGCACAACTCAAGGACGGTCGGTCACGTGTATCACTTTGTCCAATGTAAACACGGCTAACCTTTTATCTAACCAATCAGCGGTGAAGAAGACAGCAGTGTAGTTTGATTGGTTAAACCGCGGCGTTACTGTACGGAACACCGAACAGAAACACATGGGTGCTACAATGCGGTACGCGGATGCCAATAGATATATTTTAATGCAGATTTGAAACACATTTATCCGCCGTTTGAAGCTTTCTGTAAGTAAAGCATCTAGCGGCGTCAATATGGACCAAGAAATGTTACTTTTCTTTTCAAGAAACATGAGAAATGCTCTTGCTGTTAGCTTGTTATGCTAACTGAGAGTTGAATGGTGACTGTACACAGCACAGACTTTAACAACATCTTCATATTTTAAATGCCAGTCAACCTCGCAACCCATGTGCCATCTTTGCTCCTTCGTAGTCCTTCTTTAACAGCTGTGTGTTGTCACTTCATGTCTTTCAGGCACCATCGATAATATGTCTTCAGTGATAGTTAGTGAATAAGAAATGGAGACAGCAGCCCTGGTAGTTCCAGTCACAGCTCTGGAGTTCCTTCAGGATGTGTTTCTACTGACAGGTAGGCAATCAGTATAGTGGTGCACATAGGAAGATCAAATGAAATGTGGATTGTCATATGTTTCAAATGTGTGTGCTGTGGAGTGTGTCACTTCTCTTCTTGCTTAATGTGAAAAAAGACTGAATACAAATAGAGAACTGTTACCCTTTCCTGGCAGGTGAGGGTCCAATCTTGACAGTGTACAGTCTCCGACCTCGCCCTAAAGCCTGTGCCTCACTGAGCGTGCTCCAACACTGCAGAATCCATGGGATAAGACCTCGAAGTCCGGTGGTTGTCCCAGCACAGAGCTCTGCCACAGGAACCCATGGGGAGAAGAAAGAGGGTCAGCATAAGTATTAACTGTTGTCTTTTGAGTAGTTAATTTCTTCTGTTGTGTTTTGTTCAGAAAGGTTGATTTATCTCTTCACTTTTGTCAGGATATGTAAAACTCAGACTAGTCAATTTGAGTGAAATATGATAGAAGGTTTTGGGCCAAAGAACAGATTAGTTTGGTGGTGAGCACATTTGTTATAAAATGAATGAAAAAATGATTAAGATTCTGAATATTAAAATGTTCTCTATCTTTGGCTGTGATGTCTTGTAGAAGAACTGGGCCAGTGTTGGTTTAGAGTTTGCACTCACTGACAGCTCTTGTTATTTTTTGTATAGATTGTAAAGATTTATTCACTTCTCGTATTGACAATCCACAGAACTGAGCACCATCTCGGAGCCAAAATTCTATGACCTAGCAGTGTTTGGAGGCAAGGCTGTGAGGCTGGTGAGGCTCCACGTGGATCTCCAGGATGGGGAGCTTCTGCGCTTGGAGATTCTGGGTCCCCTCGTGGAGCTACAGGACTGGGCCCTGGATGTCCGTTGGCTCCCTGGAGACAAACACTCTCTGCTCTGTGTGGCTGTAGCCCACAATAGTGCTCTCCTCCTGGACGTCAGTACAGGAAATGCCCTGATTCAGCGCTCCTGTCTGGAGGGGTGTCTGCTGTACTCCGCCCTCCTTCTGGTACATGAATCCTGGGAAGATTCTGTCTTAGTAGGCGGGACTGTTTTCAACCAGCTGGTTGTCTGGAAGCCTGGAGGAGGAAACGAAAGTGGAGATTCTGAGTACAAAGCTCCAGTTGAGAGACGCCTGATGGGCCACAGCGGGGTCATCTTCAGCATCTCATACCTCCAAGAGAAAGGATGGCTGGCTTCAGCCTCGGACGACCGCAGCGTGAGGGTGTGGGGTGTTGGTGCTTTAGGGGGTCCTGGAGGGAGATGCGGGGACTCGAACGCAGCTTGTTTAAGAGTCCTATATGGACACCAGGCTAGGGTGTTCTCAGTGCGTCTCTCACCAGGGAAAGTGTTCAGTGCTGGGGAGGATGGGGCCTGTTTAGTCTGGGACTGGGCCGGAGGTGGCAAGGTGGTTCGTACATTGAAGGGACACCGAGCTGGCGGGGTTCGTGCACTCGCAGTCAGTGAAAGAACAGGAGATGAAGAGAGATGGGTGGCTACAGGGGGGGCGGATGGAGGGGTGAGGTTGTGGAGGGTAGAAGGGAGTGAGGAGAGGAAGGACAGAGTGGAGGAGGCAGTGACAGAGAAGTTAAGTGACCTGAGATTTCCTGGTCAAGGCTCGCCTAAAGTAGTTTGTATAGTCGGGGAAGAGGATGAAAATGCAAGCTGGTGTCAGAGTAAGTTTGTGGTTTGCACTGACCAAGGAATAGTTTACCAGTACAGCGATGGGCAGTGGGAGATGGTCTGGGAAGGGACTCGTGAGTTTCAGTCTTACTGTGTGATGGAAACAAAGACTGTTATTGTGAAAGACTCAATAGGAAAAGTTAACTTGTGTGCTGTGGGAAACCTCAGCGGGTCCATACAAGTCTTCCCCATCTCTCATCCTCAGTGTGGGATTCTTCTCACAGGTGGATCAGGGAAGATCCATAGTCTTATTTGGCGAGAGGCAAAGAAAAGCTTGTATTTGCTAGCTTCAGGCGCTGAAGGACTTGTCTATCGCTGGTGTATAGAAGTAAAACTTAATGAAAAGTGTTCCTTGACTCTCAGTGTAAATCCCCTTCCTCCCTTCCTCCTCCCCCCATGTGCCAAACGCTGGCTAACAGCTGCAGTGCCCCTCAAGTCCATATCACAGGGGTTGCTGTGGGTGTGTGGGGACAGGAGAGGGTCTCTGCTTTTGTTTCAGGAAGGAGGAAAACTTGAACAAAAGATGGTAGATGAAAAAACAGGCAGGAAACAAACTGATGATGAAAGGATTGGATGTGAGGAAAATGGAAGTGAAATGATGGAGGAAAGAGAAAGAAAAGAAGTGGGTCACCGCACACTGCACCCGCTGAACTACCTGTTCGGAGTGCATGGAAAACAGGGTGTAACTTCAGTGTGTGAATACCAGGGACTGCTCTACAGTACAGGGAGAGACGGCTGTGTGAGGGTCTTCAGAGTGCGTCCAACACCACCGGAAAACCCAGAAGAAGAGGGTAATGGAAAGGGTGTGAAGAACAAGAGAGGGCTTCAGCTGGAGGTTCTGAGAGTCCAGCGGGCCTGCAAGGGTATGGAGTGGTTGGAGAAGGTTTTGATTATTGAACCTGAAATTCCAGAGGAAGAGGAGGAGGAGGAGGTAGAAGTCGGAGAGGAATGTGAGAACCACTACAAGACAAAGAAACACAATTTGACAGAAAAGCTGGATATGAGAGATGATAGGAAAGAGGAGGGAAGCTTTGGAAGAGAAGAAGAAAAAACAGAGAACGAGGAAAGAGAAGCCAGGTTCGTCATCGTGGGCTTTCATGCCATCCACTTTGTGGTCTGGGACCCGGTGAGGCAAGAGAGGCTGCTAGCGGTGCCTTGTGGTGGGGGACATCGCTCCTGGAGTCTCTGGCCTTCCCACAAAGGGGTTTGGCCTGGATATGGAGCTCTGGTCTTCATCAAACAAGGGACTGTCCTGGCTTCGCAACCCCCTGGCGAGGCACCGAGCTGGGCTGGGAAGGCAGGTTGGACTAGAGGATGGGGCCTGAGAGAGGGCGTCCACGGGAGGGGGATTGGGTGTGTATGCAGGCTGGGGAGGATCAGGGGAACAGGGAATAAGATTCAAACAAAGAGTACTGGAAATGTGACCGAAATTGAGGGAAGGGGTGGACTCAAAGATGAAGTAAAGGAGGAAGGGGACTGGGAGATAGTGGTGACGGGAGGAGAGGACACTAGCTTAACCGTCCTGGCACTACATACCAACTCTGGCAGCGTCAGAGTCCTGTCAGTTATTACCGACCACATCTCAAGCGTTCGGACAGTGACAGCGCTAACACGCCCAGAGACTGGAAACCAGACTCTCTCTGCCCTGCTCGTGTCAGCTGGCGGGCGAGCTCAGATGCAGTGTTACCGGCTGTTGATCAGCTGGGACAGGCAGAGACAGGTTCCCTCCTGCCAGGTAATCCAGGTGGCCAGTCATCGATTGGACGAGCAGTGGGAGAGGAGGCGGAACCGACACAAGACAGTGAAAATGGATCCAGAAACGAGGCAAGTTCATTGTTATGTAATGTAGGCGTGTTTTATTTTCTGCACATATGTACATAAAATCTTCTTTAAGAATACCTAACTTCTTAGAGCCTTTATCCTCCTTCTTCCTTGCTTGCTTCTTTCCTTCCATCACTCCAGCATCCATTTTCATCAAGAACAATGTTTTTGAAGTCTGCATATAAGAGACTTTTTCTGGAAGAATGATGATGAAAAACATCTGTGTTTCAGTTGAACTTGAGGTTACCCCTTTAATCTCTTTCCTTTTAAATTCTACTTCTAATCTAGTCTTATCTGTTGTGTCTGTGTTTTCAGGTACATGTCTGTAGTGGTGGTAAATGAGATGAAAGACTGTGGGCTTCTGGCTCTGGGCTGCAGCGACGGAGCTCTCAGGTTGGTCCATCAAAGCAAAATTAAAAGTTTTCCACACATCTGAAACCTCTGTCTCAGGATCTGAAGAAGTGTTACAGTAAAATGCTCTCAAAAACTTCTTTAGTGAAGTGGTAGCGATGATGATTGTAACTGAATGCGACTGAATATGAAATGTATATTTATTGGAAAAATATAACTCGAATGTGACATGTACTCTCCTCCATGTAATAACGCTGTCCTCACTCTCCCCTTGTTTTCTGTCTTTTCACCTTTTGTCTTTTCCAGATTGTTCTCAGTCAGTGAAGTTAAATGTCAAATTGAATTGTTGTGGGAGACATTTTACCACCAGCGCTGTGTGCTCAGTGTTGCTGCCTGCAGCCTGGAGGATGGAAAAGGCAACAGGTGAGCCAAAGTTTGTTCCAATGTTTTTATTTCCAGAGCCTAAATGAGGTGAATGTTGGCGCTTTCATTACAAGTTATAGGTAGGTTTCAAAGTAAAACACTCACTGCTTTAGAATAGAGTAGTCACTGGCTGATGCAATATTAAGAGGCCAGTAAATCCAGATAAACTTTTAATTTCCAGATTTTTATTTGGGGAAAATATGAAGAAGTCTAACAGGTACAGGTTTGTTTTAATGTCTCTTTCTCGCAGGTATGAGCTGCTGTTCAGCGCTGCAACAGATGGAAAAATTGCCGTGTGGGATTTAACTGAAGCTTCTTCCTTATCGACCGGTACTTCAAGCAGTGCTCCAGCACCGCCAATCCCCTGCCTCAACATTCCCGCCCACCAGAGTGGTGTCAACTCATTGGCTGTTTGGGCAAAGAAACTGGGACAAGAGGGCGGTTGCCTGGTAACTGTTGCTAGCGGAGGGGATGATGGGCAGCTGACAGTGTCCACGATTAGGGTGCAGTACCCAGAGGACTGCAAGATTGGGGGCAGCAGAGGGTTTTCTCAGATTTCTGAGACCCAGATTTCTCTACAAACCCAGTTCCAACCCTCAAACCAGCTTAATCTTCATCTCCACTCCCAGTCCCACATTGTGCTGGCTCATGCTGCCCCTCTGACTGCCCTGAAGCCCCTGAGACCAGCCCTCGTGGTCTCCACTTCTTCAGATCAGAGGGTTTGCCTGTGGAGTGTCTGCAGTACTGGTATCAGCCACATCGGGGCGCTGTGCTCCCACGTTGCAGATGCTGCAGGACTCGCAGTGTGGGAGGGGCAGATGATAGAGGAGGAGGAGGAAGGAGATAAAACAAGGAAAACAAGGTTTGAGTCTGAGCAGGAGACTGCAATTTGGAGAGTGAAGGGGAGTCAGACAGGATTAAAAACGATGTGTGAGACAGCAGAGGAAAAGACAGGTGGGAGATGCAAAAAGGAAACAGCTGATGAGGCCGAGGGCGGAGAACCTGTTGAAGCCAAAAGCGAGACAGGTGACCCAGTTTGTGAGACAAGTGATGAGGAGGGAGTTGAGACAGCTGGTGAGCGTAGAAACCTAACAGAGACTGACAGCGTTGGTAAGACAGAGTGTGAGGTAAACAGCGAGACAGGTTCCAAGGCTTCCTGTGAGAGCATGAAGAAGAGAGGAAGGACGGGATGGGTGCTGGTCTGTGGCCAGGGCTTCCAGCTACTGCGAGTCAGATATACAGACATGGACGCAGAGACGTGGACTACAAGAAGAGAAGGAGTTAAAGTGGCTTCAAAAGAAAAGTCAACATAACTTGAATCAAAAGTTATCAGCGATCCAAACACTCACTTTCTCAGTGGACCTTTTTTAAAAAATTATTATTTATGAATTATCTGTAAATTGAAGCTGTATTAATTGATATAAAATTAATTTTACTTTGGTAATTTTTACATTTTTAATAAAATATATTTATTCTCCTGATTTCTTGTTATTGCACTTATGTAAGCCATTTAGTCACAGTAGGAATATCACCATCAAACCCATGCGAAGAGATATGAACAGTTTTCTCTCACAGATTTTTAGACTAGTTAAAGTTTGTATTGACTTCTCTCAAACTAAAACCTTACTATCATTTCTCATAGCCTGAAAAATCCAAAGAAAAGATGTGGGTCTGCATATCTGCGTGTAACTAAGCACCAGAAGCATTTGGTGCTCATCAAGGAAACATTAAAATTTTCATGGCTATATTCAAAAGAACATTAAAACCATCTCTGATGTGTTTGGGCCATCTGTGGCCTCCTTCAGGGAATAGCACCACACTGCACAAAGATGGCAGAAATTAAATTAGTTATTTTTAAAGCAGCATGTTACATCTCTGCCGGCCAGGAAATAAAGCCACTTACTTAAAGAGAGCCTTGGGACTCCATTATTAGTAAGAACAAGGCCAAACCAAAGTCTGCTTTCACCAAATGTCTCTACCAAAAAACTAAGTACTGGCAAGATGTATGATTTATATTTACTTTATGGTTAAAACTCCACCACTGCCTAATACCTACTCCGGAAGTGCCCCTGAGCAAGGCACTCAAATCCATGTTGTTTTAGTGAAGAGCTGCTGCCCCCCCACAAAAATCATCCTGGCATCATGATAGACAGACAACATGTGAAAGTATACATAATAAAATGTTATTGCAGGAGTTGTTCAGATACTGATTAAGCACTGCAGAGAGGGGATAGTCTCTGAGTAGACCTGGAGCTGGGGACCAGAAACCTGCTAGGTAATAAGATGGAGGTTTATATTAGGGTTAGACTGAGTTGGTTGGGCGTGTAGTGGTGATGGTTAAGGTTACCATTACTGTAAGGAAATATTTGAGTCTGCGAGGGTCGTCACATGTATAGAAGTACCAAAGTGTGTGTCAGTGTCAGTTTTCTTGTGTTGCAACTATTTGCTTTTCTATTCACACTTTGTATAAATGTTAAGAATAGAACAGTAATTAATTACACATAGTGTGAAATTTGTGTGTGTGTGTGTGTGTGTGAGTGATTGATTGTGCATGCACAGTTTATTATATCCAGCCACAGAGTTAGGAAATAGTATTTGTTTTGGGATTATTCAAAGCTCAACTTTTAATACACAAGTAAGTCAAGAATGTGTACTTGGAGTGTGTGTTTGTATAACCATGCCCACTCATACTGTGATTATATTGTGTGCATGTGTTCTGAAATGCTAATTTAGCACTGTTGAAGCAGAATGTGTTGTGATATGAAATGCTAACACTGCTTAAGTGGCAGGTTGATAAGAGACTGTGCGCACTTCTTTTTGCATATTTGGTGTGTGTGTGTGTGTGTGTGTGTGTGTGTGCGTGTGCATGTGTGTCTGACTGGAATGCAAATGTAGCTGTGTCAGATGAAGTGTGAGACGGTTAGCAGCATGCTCACCTGCGCCATGTTAAATGTCATACACTGTAGATTAGAGGGTGTGTGTACGAGTGTGTGTTGATTCACAGTCGCTTGCTTGAAATTTAAATATAGATGTCAGATTAAGTGTGCACCTGTATCCCTGTGTGTGTGTGTGTGTGTGTGTGTGTGTGTGTGTGAGAGAGAGAGAGAGAGAGAGAGAGAGAGAGAGAGAGAGACGATCTAAAATGCTGATGTTATCGAAGACGCTGGGTAAATGAAATTTGTGTGTAATTGCACAGTTGTCTATATCTGTATATGTGTGTGTGTGGAGGGCTGGATGGGGGTCAGAGCCCATGAAGGGGCCGACTGAAGGTACCCATGAATATTTTAATATTTAAGCCTCGTCTCACGTTGCCTTTTGTCAAGCACCCATCTCACCACCTGCCACTCACAACGGAGAGAAAGAAGGAGGAATAGAGAGGAAGAAAGAAAGCTAATGTCACCTTGAAGATGACCAGTAAAGGGGGAGAAAGAGAGGGGAGGAGAAAGGGAGGTAGCTGGAGAATGAGGAGATGAAACTTTCCAAAACTACAAAAGAGGAGAGGTGCAACCCTCTTGTTGAGAGAAAGAAAAGGGGAAGGAGGGAGGGAAAGCAAGAGCACAAAGTACCTGTGTAACCACCACTATCACTTACAAGGGGAAGAAAGGGTGAGAGAAAAAAGAGGAGGGAGAGTGAAAGCATCACTGCTGACAAGGTAATGGTGAGGCGGGCGAGGAGGGAGTAAACGGCCAAACTGAAATGCAGAAGCACCTGCTGCACTGAGCGTCACTGCTGGTAAAGAGAGAAGAGAAACAGGGAAAGAAAGACAAGCAGAGAGGAGTGAAGACATTACAGGATGGACGAGGCAGAAAAATGAAGGAAAGGACTGATTGACAAGTGAGGGGGTGTAAGATGAGGCACTGAGAGGAACATGCTTTCCAAGACCAGGATGTATGTTCGGGATACATTTTATGTTTTAAGGGAAGACGTGTGTTTCTGAAAAAGATTTAATCTTCAGTCTTCAAATAACATGTGGAGAGACAGGAAGTGACTTCTATTCTGCTGTCAAAGTACAGAAGGGTGACAATTTACACCCATCAAAGAGGTATACATACTCTCTCCCTCTCTCTCCCAGCTTGCTTCAGATGATGTGCCATTCACTGTGTTTATTTCCTGCCTCTTACTGTAACTCTAATCTGCAACTCTCAATACGAGCTTTTCAGAAACTTGGTGTCACGAAGATGTCTTTCGTTTTAGAGGATTTTTTATTATTTTTCTCTGTTTATCTGCATGTTTGTTGCAAGGACAGAGCACTGACCTTTCCTCATTTCCCTTTCCAAACAGTCACACTCGCAGAAGAGCCAAATGCTGAATTTAAAATGCCAAATTGAAAAAAAGTTGTTTTGGACACAAGATTCTGAGAGTCTAAAGTGCATTATGAGCTTACACGTGCTCTTTTGGTGCTTTAACCACAGCACAATCTGGAACAAGGTTTTTAATAACCAAACCCTGTGTTTAACCTCTCTTTCAATGTGTGTATCTATATCCTGTTGTTGTTCTCTTTTTTGTTGCGTTCTTAAAACATTTCTATCTCACATAAAAAGCTGTTAAAAGTGGTTATGTATTTATCTCATAAAAATTCAATAATATTTAATGAACAGTTGGATCGTGGGTCAAGGAACAAGTAATAAGTGACAAGGGTTTTTGAAAGAGGATTTTATTAAAGTGGAGGATAAAGAAAGAAGACTACAGCCATGTTAGCGGCTCTGTGAGGCCAGCCTGGCACATTGGTGCTAAATCCTAATGTCAGCATGCTAACATGCTCAGTGACAATGCAACAGGTCATGTTTACCATGTTTTTGTCAATCTATCTAGTAGATGTTGAGATATTTATAGTAAAAACTTTGACCTGCTGGTGTTGCTAGAGTCAGCTGTTCACCAAATTCAGTAGGATTCATCCTCTGGGGACCATAAAAAACTACAGAGCCATGCCAAAATCAATGCATATTTATATTGCAGTGTGTACGGACTGTTCATGCAGTGTAGTGTGTGAATGATGAACGAGACGCGCTGTAAACTGTGAACGTATTTGCTACAAGTGTGAGCATGTCAATTGTGAAATAGCCACACTTATTTCTGCTGTCAGGGCCCCGGATTGGTGATGTCACGTGAACGGCTGCCTCTCATTGGTTCATCTGGGGGTAAAACAACAGGTGATCCACTTATCACCCATTCACCTCTCATTTGACAGAGGCTATTATGCTGCAGGAGCATGTTTTAGAGATATAGATAGATAATCTGAAAACCTGATGTGTTTTGTATTTATAAATTTCAATGTTGCAGTCCTATTGAAGTTTAAAAATTTCTTTTTTGATACTACCATTGGGATTCACCCAAGTACAAAAGTACTAAGTAGGAAATACTGATTATACCTGTTGTACAACAGACCATTTACTGATAGTTTTCACACTTAATATCCATGTTATTCAGTTATGTTGTTCAGCGCCTGTGTGCTGGGAACTGGACATACGACTACAAACTCTGTGGTCCTCGAGACAACATTACCAAAGGAACATCAATTATTCTACCACAAAGGCCCTGCAGGAAAAAAGCCTTAACGTTTATTCTCCACTCATCTGTTGTTGGCCTTTATAATCTACACATACACATAATAATACATTTTTATAGACAGGAATTGCCAATGGAGCATTCCTTTCTTTCAAAACTAATAACTTTGGTACAGTGCAGTTTCAGCTGAATTTCATAAACAGCTCCAGGCCTGTATATTCTTCTTCTGATAGGTGATGCTACTGTTTTTGTAAAATATTAAGTAAACATAAACATAAGCCTTATCAGCTTAAATCATGAAGTGTTTGCAATAGAGAAGAAAAAAGCAGTCCTCCTATCTATATATATTGACCCAATACATTCTTTATCCTAATACAGACATATTTACCCAATCCATCTGAGTTTTAACTATGCATTAAGTAAGTTCTGCATGTATCCTAATATCACTCTGGTTGAGTATGACATTGATATCCCACAAGGCAGTTTGATGTCTGTTGATGCTTGTACCACTTCCTGTCAGCATTTTTCATGCACCTCCTGCCATAATACACTGTAAGATACATAATGAATAAATTATAGTATTAGTATATACATATATAGTATATAATGTAACTGGGATCCAGCACTGATGTCATATTACATTACTTCTGGGCAATAAGTTATCCATTGGATTAGAAAATTCAATACATTTTTAATCCCTGCTACACATGGCACAAAGTTTACTTTTCTGAACTTGGTGTGTCCTACTCAAGGACACTTCATCAGAACAGATGTTTGCTTACATGGGGTTTTAAGCCAGACCACTTCAGCTAACTGCTCCCCATTCTTTTTTTTATTTTCCCCTCTTATCTCACCTTTCTTACCACAGCCAAGCCACCTCTCTCCTCCCCAGCTCTCCATCAGGCTAATCGCAGAAAACGCAGCCAGCAGCAAACATCATCCTCCTCCTCGCACCCTCATCCAGGGCCCTCCTCCATCCTCCTCTCAGACTCCACCATGACACCTTGGGGCGGCCTGGCTCTCTCCGAATCCTCCTTCACGGCAATCCCCCCACCTCTCCCGCCGAGGCCCCCTCCGCCTCCGCCTCCACCCCCTCCTGCTCCTCAGCCCACGCCATCCTCCCCTTATCGCGGGAGACAGAATGACAATGAAGTTTCATGTTCCAGTTTTAACTCTGAGGTTCCATCTCCACCTGTTGCAGTCCTTCAGGACAGCGCAGGTATGTCTGGAACAGGGGTCTGTCACGTTCATGTCTAACCATGTAACAAAAGTAAAAATAATGTCAACCTACTGTATGTTTACTTTTAATTGTTTTATTTCTGAAGAAACGTTTACACTACCTCAGAAAAAAAACTTGCAACTTGGAAGTTGTGGCATGAAGTCAAAAAAGTTGAATTTCTAGGTATTAAATTACTTGGATCTTCTGCAAAAGCCAGTAGCTGTTAGGGTTAGACTTCTGCCTGCCAACCTGCTAACTTGAATAGGGATAAAATTATTTAATCGTGCTTCTCTTCTAGACTCTCTACAGGTTATTGGACCGAATGGTTCAAATTCTGATAGCGAAATGAGTAATTTCGCAGGGACTGAATGTATCCACCATTTTACAGCTGCATCTATTCCAAGTTAACCTTATGGGAAAAAGTAGTTTTGGGCCAGTGTGCATCAAGTGATGTCGCTATTGTTGTCATTACACCATTTGGCCACTATATCAGATTGGCTTCAAACCTCAGCTCTCTTCCTATGGGTTTGTTCTGGCCTAGAGAGACTTTCTGAGTCCGAAATAAAACTAAATCTCTTAACTGCGCATGCATCATACAGCAGGATTTTTGAATCCCTTCCACTTGCGAATCAATTTATTCGTTCCTCTGTAAGAGTCGTTCAAAAGGAACCATTTGTTCAAATCTAACATCACCACTAAAGTAGCTTAATCTTTCACTTAAGTGCAAAATTTCACACTTAGGATTTTGATGAATACAGGCCGTGTCCTTTTTCATATTTCTGTAGTAGTCTAACAACTTTCTGCTGAGAGCTTAAGGTCCACTTACTAACTTTTTGGAGCAGTTTACAGGCATTAGTTTTAAGGGCAATCAAATTCCTAACATTTGCTTTCACTTTCTCCGTGTCCATGGCTCTGTGTCTGCAGGTGGAGGGGGTAGAGGGTTGCGGGCGAGGCGGAGGATTTTGCCCCAGCGCCGGGTGCCTCGTCCTCCCCGTCTCCCACCTCTGCGTCCCGTCACCAACCTCAGTTTCTCGCGGAGCTTCACCTTCTCTTTCTTCGAGTTGCCTCTTCACCAGTCACCTCGTTGCCGTGCCGAACGCATCAGAAACCTCATGCTGCTTTTGAGACAGATACACTATTGAAGAATCAGTGCTACGGGGACAGTTCATTTTTGTATTTTCCTATGCATAGAACATAGGAATCTGCTTTTCTCTAGTGTATTATTTGGTTTTATTACTGCTACATTTTAAATATCAGTATACAAATGTCATATGAGTGATGTACATAAATGTAGTGATGCAGTGAGTGATGTTTCTATATTTGAACAAACAAAGGTATCTTGTTAGGTCAGTGTGTTTATCATGTTTTGAAAAACTGCATTTTGGGTTTGAAAATGTTTTCCCTAATAAAGGTAAATAATAAAAACTGTGGTTGTTTGACATCTTTTCTTGACTTTCCCGTTGAGAAAGTTTCCCTGACGGGCACTGTTTATTTTAAATGTCCATTCCAATTTGTTTTTGTAGTGAGATTAAAAGGACAATGAAAAAAACTGTGGAAATAAGGCCTACGTTTTTATGCTTTTCATTCTCTTTGTCTTCTTCCTATCTACATTCTTCATTTCCCCCATGTCGGTCTTTTAATTAATTCTCAGTTGGAATGGCTTTTAAAAATTACTCATTGTACAAAGTGGAATACACTAAAACATATTAAAACTGCTGCTGCTCATTTGCTTGTTTTCTCTCTTTCTCTCTTTACACATACAAACACACCTACACACACACACACACACACACACACACACACACACACACACACACACAGACATTCAGACCATGAGTCTCTGTAAGCTGAGCTGTGATAATAGAGGCATTCAGATGTACTGAATGGGGGCGGGGGTGAAGGGGAGGAGAAAAGGGGCCGTAAACTCGCTGTAATGTGCAGAGTTCAAGGCTGTTACCTACCTTCCCCTGGCTCACGTGTGTGAGTTTGCTGAACTGTGTGTGTGTGTGTGTGTGTGTGTGTGTGTGTGTGTGTGTGTGTGTGTGTGTGTTATCCTCACATGCACGCTGTCGCTCATGGGAGCTATTTGTATTCAAAGCTTCGTGCTGATACAGATTCGGTCAGCCCTCCTCTCTCACTGCTTTGGTTTGTTTTGCTTACCTCTACAGTTACTACTGGTCTTTTTCTTTGTCCTGTAACTTCATACACACATTTGACAAACATTAAGAAAAGGACACGAGACACATTGAACACACCCAGTATTGAAACAAAGTGAAACTTGACTGTACTGCCAGTAATCTTTGACATTGATTTCAGATGGACAGCGTTGAGCAAAGTGGCCTTCCTCCCCACAGGCAGCCTTACCTTGCTGTTGCCCTGGACGAAACACAGCTGGATGTCCTTGGGGAGCGGGTAGAAAAAAAGTATTTGTCATTTTTGGAGAAAGTGAAAGCACAATGTTGGTGAGTGAGAAGATAGGTTTAGTTTTTCGTCTTGTCAGTTTGGGTCCTGTTTTTAGGGTAAATAGATGATTAAGGTGCTTTATCTGAAGCTCTATGGCCTTAAACCCTGTGTATGTGTCTGTTTGTGCGTGTTCCTCCAGTTGTTCTGGTCCCAGGTTGAAGAGCTTCCTGTTGGGCTTTTTTCCTGTCCTATCATGGCTGCCTGGCTACTCCATCAGAGAAAACGCCATTGGAGATCTGGTGTCTGGAGTCAGTGTTGGGATCATACAGCTGCCCCAGGGTGAGGATGCAGCCACGCATCATAATCAGAGTCTTAATGCGGTTTAAACAACTACAGACAGCCACAATAACTTCATACACCTGTGTTACTCTTTACCTCTATTCATCATTGCTCAGTGATTGCATCAATTGGTCTACTGATGGGTGTTTAAAGAAGTCAAAGAAAATGTCCACCATTGCCTTCCACCATTGTCATCCAGCTACAAAGATTGGTAATATTTGGCATTGTCTATAATTCTTAATGAGACATGAGTGCAGAGACCCCAAACCCCCTAATTATTCTCTTTTCATGCACAACCACCACAAATAAAGGGGCTTTCTGAACAGCTGTTTTAATGATACTGGGTTTTACTTTGCTTTTCGTAATACGCACTAGTTGTTCATTCAAGGCAGGCTTCTCACCTTCACCTCTCTTCTCCTATTCTCAGGTATGGCCAACGCCATGTTGGTGGGAATTCCTCCAGTGTTTGGTCTCTACACTTCATTCTACCCTCTGATCATTTACTTCATCTTCGGCACTTCCAGACACCTCTCCATCGGTGACTGTCATCCTTGACTTTTCTGGAAGGACCTTTGTGTCTATAAACTGCCGTTGTTCAGTCTTCCACAACTACAGTGCCTTGCTCATGAGCACCTCAGAAGAATATTGGCACAAAATATTCAAGAAACTTTAAAAACCCCAAATTCTAGTTGTATAAAAATCAGTAGTTCAACAATAATCTGAGCTTTCTTTTTGTTTTAGTCTTGCAGTTTAAACTCACAGTATAAATTTATGTGATTACCAAAGACTCATGAACACAGTGAGTATGTGTGTCTGTTTATGTGTGATAGGTACTTTTGCTGTCCTGGCAATCATGATTGGGTCTGTGACAGCCAACGTGGAGTTGCCTAGCAACGGTGTTGAAGCGAGTCAGATTGATGTGGAAGCAGCGAAAATGAACGTGGCTGTGCAACTCACCTTTCTCTGTGGCGTCCTACAGGTGCACACACACACACACACACACACACACACACACACACACACACACACACACACAGTTAGACAATACATGAACAAACAGTATGCACAGACTCACACTCACTGCTGTACAGCTGGTACTCACCTCTATAACCTGTTGTATTCTCTGAAACACTCTTCTTCATTACAGGTCAACATCAGGTACTAAAGGAAATATCTGCCCAAAGCTTTAAAACTGTAAAAAAAAAAAAAAAAAAAAACCTGTAAAAGAGAAAAAAGGATTTGTTCATGATTTTTGAATTCCTGAGTCTGTTTTGTTGTTTGGTATATATCATTTTATTCCTCTGAAATATGTGGGAGGTTTATGCTACTCCCAACCCACTCCATGCCGAATCCTCTGACCAACCTGTAAGCATCACCATTGCACTGACAAGATCCCTCACTGGGTTTCCACACTGCCCATAACTGAAATCCTCTCTTGGGGGTTGGACAATTATTTTGACTATTGCCACCCATGGTCTTCAAATCGATCCAGATGTTTTTCAGTACCTAGAAGAGATTGATGGCAGATCTTTCTAGCGATGGAAAACATCAGTTAACACACAGTCAGAAAAAATCACAGAGGCTGCATTCTGCGCAGTTTTTCAAGAAGTACATGGGGAAACAAAAGAGATATGAAGAAAAAAATACCTAAAGCTGTTTGTGTGTGTGTGTGTGTGTGTGTGTGTGTGTGTGTGTGTGTGTGTGTGTGTGTGTGTGTGTGTGTTTCATTAGCTCCTGTTGTACCTGTTGCGTGGTGGCGGTGTGTGTCGCTGGCTGTCTGATCCTGTAATAAGAGGCTACACCACAGCCGCAGGTCTGCATGTGGCCATCCTGCAGCTGCCACTAATGACTGGAATACCTGCACAGAGACACAGTGGACTGCTGCCGTCCACTTGGGTCAGTAGACACACACACATTTATATTGGCAACCTTCAACACTGCTGAAGTATCCTCGGGCAAGACTTGCTAAGCTCCTGTACTGCTGTTATGTGGCTGATCTCTGACCTCTAAGCTAGTCTCTCTTCTACTGGCTTATGGAATTCAGTGGCATTTCTCATGTAGATTTAATTGATAGTCTGTCTGTAAAGCTGAAACAAAGTCCTGGTTATTTCTGTTATATTAGTTAAATGGATATCTAAGTACTACTGTACCTGCTAATACATGATTAGTCAAACAACAAAACAACAGGTTCTTTTTTAACCCAAACTAAAAGTATGAAAAAGTATCCTGTTGTGGCTTGATGATATGTAGTAGGTGCTTCTACAAATGTTTTTACGAATCAATCATATCAAAGTTATTTGTAATTTATTATTACTTTTTGTGTACTAAATATAATTTAACTCAGTATTTACTATCCTTTCCTTATAGGTACTATATAAATGTGTACTATACCTACACTGTATTACCATCTAGTTTCTTGGTAGCTAGGTTTTCATGTACTAGGTTATAACTTACTTACTATCCTTTTCTTATATGTACTTTGTACAGTACTATCTAAGTTGATTTCTATGTACTTACTAACTATAACTTTGTATTTACTAGGCAATTATTTTGGTATTTTCCTAACCCTCTATGGTACGCATTATGATGCCAGTTAGGAAAAAAAAATTTGGAGTGTTTTTATGTTTTAAAATAGACTAAATAAACATAACCTAAAGAAATTTTATAAAAAATATATTTTTTAATACATTTTTGGGGTTTGTTGCCTGTAGGCAACATTGTACCATAACAGTGCTAAAGTGAAAAAGAGAGGTTTTTTTTTAATTTGAACATAATTTATTAAATAAATATGTGTAAAAGATTCAATAGCTTCAACAGGTTACATACATGCCATTTTAAATTGAAAAATATTATAAAAGGAACTATTTTAAAGGGTTTCTTGGCTGAACGTTGCCTGTAGGCAACATTGTACCATTGTGGAACAACCCACTGAAATGAATGTTTCGAAGAGTTGTAATTCTAAGCGTAAGCGTAAATCTTCAAACTTTAAATGAACTAATTATCAAAACAAAGATCATAACCATTTGCAAAACAAGAAACTGGTATCAGATTCCAGTGTTTGATCATCACTCCTTCATTTCAATGCATGTTTCCTATCAGTCCCCTGTGTCTTTCCTGACATGCGTTGCCATTATTTGTGGTGTTGCTGCTCAATGCTTATCGAACTCCATGAAGCAGTTTTTTTCAGGAGTGAAGCACAGCTAGGTGACACATTGTGTGCACTGCACTTCCACTATACCCTTACATCCAGGGTATTTGCACCTGCCCTTTTTCTCTACCCAAATAGGTCAATGGTCAGTGTTGTCCTGACGCACAGGTGATGATGGCACTGCATTCTTCATCACTAATTAATTCTTATTCAACTTCACTATGCTCAACCTGAAGTGTGATTTATACTCTCTATCTCATTAAAGGGGTATAGAATGAGGCTGAATTCATTCTGTAAATGGAGGAAAATGTGTGGAAATTATAAGCAAAGAAGACAAAGTTATAAGGCTAAATAAGGCAAAGTTCACTATGGCCTACAGAGTATAGTAATAGTCTGAACTTTACTTTACTGCAACAAACATCAAATGTATCTTCGTTAAATTGTAAAGATCACATGCTTTTGAACATTATATATACCTAAACACACACTACCAAAATCTCATGCTGCCATGGCGATTCCATAATGGTTCACTGTTGCCTCAAGGCAACATATGCAGTTGTCCATAATGGTACGTTGTTGCCTCTGGGCAACAGTTGCATTTTATCAAGTTTCCATTATTTAATAAGCAAATAAATTGCATTAAACTATCAGAAATGAAGGGTTAGTCACATATTAGTGTGAATATATTTTTTTCCAGCTGGAAAAGTTCCCGGAAATGATGTTTTCAGACCCTTTTTGTGGCACAAAATTGCAAAGCTGTTTCCTTTGAAAATGTCTGCAAAAAAGGGTTTCAATATGGCTTCCTGAAAGTCATGTGACAAATTAAAGCATTGTTATTGGTTCCCTATGGTCTTCCCTCTTTTTAAAAGTAAAGTATCATTTAAAAAGATGCATTGTGGACATTTGACAGGCCAAAAATGGGTTTGTTGCCTGAGGGCAACATTGTACCATTTTGTTACCATCTAGTTTCCTAGTAAATACCAGGTAATTAGCAGACTTTGAAATAAAGTGTTAATATATAATAAAAATATAAGTCAGCCATGCCTAAAAATAATAATAATCAAGTCAACATTGACTTTTGGTTTCACACAGGACATAAACCCCAGTTGGAGTTCTGGCTTCAGTGCTCTCATTGGCTACGACCTGGAAGGACACAGGTAGCTACAAGCTACATGTACACTGCTGGCAACAATTTGGCAATAATGAGGACTTGTGATTGTTTCGTCAGACTGGAGGTCCTATCCTTCTGGCCCGGTACTGGCAGACCCCAACAGTGTCTCTGCACCTCACATTAACTTAGAACCTAAAAAATTCAATCTTGGCATATAATGTTGTCTTGGCAATTAAAGTCCCTTCATGATTGCTGCAGGAGTTACTGCTGTGAGTGAGTGATAGCTTTGTGTTTACATAGGGCAAATTCTAGCTGGTGTCAAACGCGTCCAAAGATGCACCTTGCCAACTCTACATGGAGGATCAAGGTGTAGGCTCGGCTTGGAAAGTGTCAGGGTTGCTTATCATCTGTTTGCAGATGGTGGTTTTCCTCCAGGTTCACTAGGCCGTAACTTTCAATATGCTATACTGGAGCAATTCACACCTGACAATCACAACTCGGGGTCTAAGAGTATATTCTAGTGATACCAGCTAGATAAATTATCAGTCTTTTTTTGAAATATGGTAGTTGAGCTTTAAGTTACTTAAGTTATCTGTTGCTATATTTTTGGTTTTTAAAGGATATACAAAATGTTTAAAACTGTGTGTTCCAGGCTTTAAAGGATGTTCTGCAGGGAGTGACAAGTGCCGTACCAGGAGCTCTGTCAGTCTCCGTGGTTTCCATGGTGATACTAATCGGAGGCAAGATGCTGAATGAGCGCTTTAAGAACAAGCTGCCTGTCGCTATACCGTGGGAACTTATACTGGTGAGGGATGCACACAAACGCAAACACACACACACAAACTCAGAAGACTCATGCCCATAAGATGCACCCAGATGGACAGATGCCACAGTGATGAACTGATGAATGACTCATAATTATATAAAAATCTGTTTTTATCTCCAAAACCTCAAATCCCCACATACAATAAATATCTGCACCTGGCCACTGATTAACCATCATTCTGGGTTGTCCATCCATCTGTCCATCCGTCCGTCCGTCCATGTGTCCCATTCTTGTGGACGCAATATCTCAAGAACAGCTGGAGGGAATTTCTTCAAATTTGGCACAAACATCTACTTAGACTCAAGGATAAACTGAATTAGATTTGGGTGGTCAAAGGACAAGGTCACTGTGAATGTCTGTCCCATTCTCGTGAATGTGAAATGTCAGGAACGCCAGGAGGGAATTTCATTACATCTGGCACAGTAATCCACTTCAGAGGTCACTGTGACCTCACAAAACATGTTTTAGGCCATAACTCAAGAGTCTGAGCAGACATGGAGGTAAACTCTACTTGTTGGCAGAGGCGGTAATTTTAGTTTTTATTTTACGTAATATTCTATTATATAAATCAACCATTATGAACCTTACAGGTGAAGTGAATAACAGTGATTATCTGGTTATCATGACACCTGTCAGTGTGTGGGATATATTAGGCAGCAAGTGAACATTTTGACCTTAGAGTTGATGTGTTAGAAGCAGGAAAACCGGGCAGTGTGAGGATTTTAGAGACTTTGACAAGGGCCAAATTGTGATGGCTAGACGACTGGGTCCGAGCATCTCCAAAACTGCAGCTCTTGTGGGGTGTTCCCGGGCTGCAGGGGTCAGTACCTATCAAAAGTAGTCCAAGGAAGGAAAAGGAGTGAAGTGGGTCATGGGCGGTCAGGCTCATTGATGCACCCGGGGAGTGAAGGCTGGCCCAGGTGGTCCGATCCAACAGACGAGCGACTGTAGCTCAAACTGCTGAAAAAGTTCATGCTGGTTCTGATGGGTTCTGAAGGTGTCAGAACACACAGTGCATCACAGTTGTTGCGTATGAGGCTGATCAGTGTTTATTATGTATATATACATATACATAGGTACATAGTATTATTATACATTATTATAATTTCAAATGTAAGTAGTAAGTAATTCAGTGTAGATCATCACAACTAAAACCCAAAATATTAAACATCTTTAGCTTATTAAAAGAAGAAGTTTTGAAGAACAATTGAAGCAACAAGGATTGTACCCAAACACAGACTAAACAGGCAGGAGAATAACTTCAGTGGTTTTTTGATAAGAATGGCTTGCAGGCAAACAGACAGACAGACAGACAGGCAGGCAGGTTCAGATCTGAGTTTGGGTGACAGAAGCTTAAGAGCAAAAACACAACTGAAGATGGGAACATAACTAGGACAAACTAGTTAACAAACAGAGGAACAAAGTATCTGGGCAGGTGGGTGGGGAAGCTCAGTTGAGGGGAGTGAGGAGATTGCAGGGTGGATGGGAGTGGCCGGATCTGGAATGGAAGGGGAAACGTCTGGGGGCATCTGGTGGTGAGGTAAAGAATAATGCTCAAGGGACCGGGGAAAGTCTGGCTGAAGAAAGGGACAGAGAGGCAGATATTGTGACAAATTCTATTACTTATACACTTTTTTTTCCTTTAAAAATACACAGCAGAGGACATTTTTCCCCCCATTTTTTCTTTTCCCATTTCCATTTTCTTTTTCACAAGGTCACATTGTTCTGTTGTCTTATAGAACACACTTTCATCAATACTTCATATTGACTTTCCTTTCTCTTGTTTTTATTTGCATATTTGGTGTTGAGGTTATCCAAAACTCAAGTAAAGAATTCAAGTTATGTTACTTTAATATTGTGATTAGGTTACTGACTACATTTTTTAACAGATGATTAGTAACAATATTGGATTACATTTTTAAAGTAACCCTCCCAACCCTGCTGATATGATAATGTCTGTGTCCATATGCAGGTGTATGAACAGACTAATTGATCTGACATTTAGATATAGAATACTGTATGTTGTTGTTTTCCAAACTGGACACTGTGCAGAATGTCCCGTCGATTGTTTTTCTCCGACAGATCGTCCTGGGCACCATCCTGTCAGTACAGATGGATCTGGCTGGACAGCACAGAGTCCAGGTGGTGGGACACATACCCAGTGGGTCAGTAGAACTGTGTCATTGTCGGATTTTTTTTGACTATTGTGTTGAATTTTACTTTGTTGAAAACTTCAAACAATATGAATTTGAATTGAATTTTCTTTTAGAGCAAAGCTGATGAACCTATAGTCACATGTTTTATTAATTCAGGAATAATTTAGTTCTCAGCCTTTAACTAATCATTAATCACTGAAATGAAAATGGCTATATTATAATTCATTTTTATTACATACTGTCTTTATCAATATGTTGTATATATACTGGCAAACCAATATATTTGTTTGTTAGTTAATATGCTTTTACCATAGAATTTAAAGCTCTATGACTCTTTTATCTTCATCTTTCTGACAATCTGACCTCTGTCTAACCTTGCATTCTTCATACTTCTGCTGTCACAATATAAAATAAGCCAGTTAGCGTCATTGTGTTATCTTTGATAGCTTTAAGAGAATGCAGTGTGTGTGAGATAAGTAATTCATGGGGTGACTCATCTTAAACTGGTGGTCATAATTCTTTACATTACTGTATATTTTATTTTTTCTTTGAATAATCAGTTAGTCATTCGGTTGATCAAGCTGTCATCTCTTTTCTTCCTCCTCCTCCTCCTCTTCTCTAGCCTCTCTTCCCCAGTCCTTCCCTCTCTCTCTCAGGCCAGACAGCTGTTCATTCCAGCTCTGTCTGTGGCTCTGGTTGGCTTCAGTTTCCTCTCAGCCATGGGCTCAATGTTCGCCCACAAACACGGCTACCGTGTAGACCCCAGCCAGGTACATTCACAGCAATTTTGACCTGTATTTCAGCTGAGATTGAGCCCTTGTTGTAGGGTCTACTTTTTTAAACGATAAACGATATTTCAGCTGCAGAGGCTATATGAGCTTCAATCCACAGCCACAATAGCAAAGCAGCATTAATATTACAGTATTTTGCAGATATTTCCTCTTCACTAATCGCTTACACTGAATTTGCTCTGGGTACCTTAATCCTGTCTTATTAAAATGTAACTTCACCATGTCAACAAGAGGCTAATGAACTCAAGGGAATGAAAAGGTGAGATGCATCTGTGTTATTGAAGATCTTATTGACAGAGGTTAACAGAAATCACATAACGTATTAATAACATTTCAAGATTAGACCTGTATCCTGAGAATTCTTAAATGAGAACATATAGTTTAAAAGCCAGAAAAAATAAATGCTGTTCTAGAAGCCACATACAGTCATGTGGAAAAATTAGGACACCCTATGAAAATATGTGTGTTTTTTAACATATTTAGACATATGGATATTTAATATCAATTTTAACAATACTGAGAGATTCAAGTAATATAACTAAACAAGTAAAACTGAAGAAAATACTTTTTAAAACTGTCTGTAAAATGTAATAAAATAAACTTTCTGGTGAGGAATAAATTAGGACACCCCCACATTTTTTCCCACTTGAAATGGCTGAAATCACAAATCACACACAGGTGTATCACATCAGGTGCACATGGTTAGAACATTGTTACTCAGCATTTTGAGGGAGGCTTGCCCTATTTAAACCTCAGACATTCAGTTTAGTGTGCTCCTGACTGTTGACGAGAAAGTGAGATCGAAAGACCTGTCTGAGGCCTTCAGAAAGAAGATTGTTGCAGCTATGAGTTTGGTAAGGGATTTAAAAATCTCAAAGAGATGAAAAGCCACCACGTCCGGAAAAAACAAGTGGAGGACATTCAAAACAACGCCAACATGCCCAGGTCTGGCCGTCGACAAGTTCACCCGACAGACCGCAAGACAAAGAAGTCAAAACACCTAAAATGTCACCACAGGACCAAGCAGGCTCGGCACTGTTGATATGAAAGTCATGCCCTACAATCAGAAAGTTTAATTTCACGGAAGGTGTGCAAGGAGAACCTTTACTCTCCATGAGAAACATTAAGGTCAGACTGAGTGCCAGAGAAGTAACAAAGAACAGGACTTAATGTTCTTGACAGATGAGTCTAAATTTGAATTTTTGGACACCAGAACGAGGACATGTTTGGCCACACCAAATACAGTGTTCCAGAAAAGAACCTCATACCAACTGTGAAGCATGGAGGTGGAAGTGTCATGGTTTGGGGATGCTTTGCTGCAGCAGGACCGGCCAGCTCACCATCATAGAATCCATCATGAATTCACAGTGTATCAGAGGGTGCTGAGCAACATGTGAGACCACTGTAAGAAAATTAAAGCTGAAGCGGAACTGGACCCTGGCATACAGTGACCCTAAACATACCAGTAAATCCACCGAGACTGGCTGAAAATGAAATGTTGAGAAATGGAGAGTCCTGGAAGCCCAGTCAAAGCCCAGCTCTTAATCCCATTGAGATGCTGTGGGGTGACAAATGGGCTGTACATGCAAGAAACCCCTCAAACATCACACAGGTTAAAGCATTCTGCATTGAGGAGTGGGGCAAACTTTCCTCAGACCAATGTCAGAGACTGGTAGAGGGTTACAAGAAGCGTCTCACTGAAGTTATTTCAGTCAAAGGGGGTAACACTAGGTATTAGGGGGTTGGGTGTCCTAACTTTTTCCTCAGTTAAAATATGCATTTATGTTGTCTTTTGTTTAATGAGTAAAACAATGTTATTTTTTTGCTGTTTACCTGTAATTAGATCACTTTCTTTTCCAGAGATAAATAAAAACAAGATTAGACATCGATATGTGAACATTTCTTTATGAATAACTGAATATTTAATGGGGTGTCCTAATTTTTTCACATGACTATAGGTGACTTTATCTCTCTGTAGAAGCTGATGCAGAGTTTGCTCTGTCAGTCAGAGTTTGTCTCCAATCAAACATGCATGTAAATCCTTGGTTGCTAGAAATCCTAAAATGTCTGTCTGTTTTCTTAAAGATAACTTGCTAAATGCAGGAGATTTGTAACAAATCTAAGATCAGCTGCAGCCTCAGTGCATACTTTTCAAAATGCTGTTGTGCTGTTGCTCTGCTTCAGGAGCTGCTGGCTCTGGGTTTGTGTAACACCATCGGAGGAATGTTCCAGTGTTTTGCTGTCAGCTGCTCCTTCTCTCGCAGTATGGTCCAGAACAGTATAGGAGTCAAATCACAGGTATTCCAAAAGACATAAAAACACTATCCCACCTTTGTATTTGCACTGTGTTAAAGACTGTATATGGAAACAACTAAAATCTAATCTTCATCAATTATATCACTATTTTAAATGGCATTTTCTTTATTGTCCTTTACCTATTCTCCTCTTGTTGTGTTTTAATCTCTTAGATGGCAGGTTTGGTATCAGCTCTGGTGATTCTAACCATCTTATTAAAGATTGGTCATCTCTTTGAGCAGCTGCCAAAGGTAAAGTGCATATGAGATAACAAATTTTATTTAGGTTCATCTAAGTTACTAAACAAGGGTTGAAATCACCAGAATCTCACCTATTACAGTTTTCTTATACTTTCCACAAGACTTGAATGTTTTTCATGTTGGTGATTTGTAAAGGACTTAGTGAACAATGATTTCTAGAGTCTATAAGCCATGCAGTGAGAACAAGTACAGTCACACAATGCACAACAGATAAATCAAAGCAATCTACAGAAGAGATATGATTGTGGTGCCAATGGTTTTATAAATGGAACAAGGTATGTCTTTCCATAAACCATCATGATGAATTATAAAGCATATCCGTGAAGATGTTTTAAGAAATGTCAAGTCATGCTCCATCTGGACGAGACTCACTGTCAGGATGACTCACGTGTCTTAGCCAGTGTTCAGAAATGCTTCGCTGTGTGTTCCAGGCAGTGTTGGCAGTGATCATCGTGGTGAACCTGCAGGGGATAATGGCTCAGTTCAAAGATGTGTGTGTGCTCTGGAAGTCTGACAGATTAGACCTGGTGGGCTTAACACACACACACACACACACACACACACACACACACACACACACACACACACACACAAGACAGACAGACAGACAGAGAGTACTGAACCCCCTCTGATTCTGGTTCTCTCTCCATCCTCTCCTTCAGCTGGTTTGGGGAGCCTCACTGATTTCCACGCTGATCTTTAACCTTGACCTGGGTCTGGCTGTGGCTGTCGTCTTCTCTCTGCTCACACTCATCTACAGGACACAACAGTCAGTAAATATCATTGAATGTCATGGATTGCTGTACAGTGCAGACAGCTCTGACATATCACAAATCCACATGTACTCTTCAATTATTTACCATCCAGTTGTTATATATATTATTCCTCAGTTACTGATGTCCCATTTTGGCCAAACTAACAGTTTTCTACAGATACTGTTATTGTTAAAACATAAAAGAATACTAAATAGGCAATAATTTATTGTTTAACCTATGTAGCCTTTCAAGTATCTGCTAAAATTATTCCTGACAAAGTTTAACCATTGCATTGATAGTTTTATTCAATCCAAAAGACTAACTAACAAGTAATTGTTTATGACCCGACATACTTGACCTGCAGGTAAACTGCAAGGCCCACAGACTACAGGGCCTTTACATTACTGCTGTACAACATAAAGTGAGGTGGTCTTATGGCACACATCAGGAGGAGGGCATTTTAGTACTGTGAGTGATGTGAAAAATACAGAAAGTTCATGTTTTGGAAAGCAAAACAGAAAAGCAAAGAAATGATTTTTTCTGGGGAAAGCAAAGGGCCTCATGGAAAAATTTTATTTTGAGACACAATAGAGCCATTACTATGGTTCAACTACAGTCTAATTTCCCAAAAGAAACATTAAGGTATCGCAATTGACTTAACAATGGTTTAACCAAATGTTGCATATGGGAAAATTATTATTACTTTAATCATGATTGAACAGTAATGTTTAATTATGATTATACAGATACTTCTTTAGAGATTATATGGGCAACAGAAGATAAGACTGTACATGAGAGTGTCTTTTGTTGTTGCTTTATCATTATGATATGAATCTGTAATCAGGCAAAGACAGAGAACAGTGTTATGTGCTAAAGGGATGTTGTGTGGATTTGTTTCGTCTTCATTCATTTATTCATTCATTCACTTTTTCATCATATTTTTTCATCATATTTTTTCACACAAGTTCAAAAGTTTTGCATTTCCTTCCCTCCTCTCACTTGTCTCCCAGGCAGACTTGCACCCTCATTAATATCCCCCTCGCTCTATCTCTCTCTCCTGTCTTTCATCTTGTTTTCCTCTTCCAGCTCCACCACGGTTGTTTTGGGTCATATTCGTGGTACAGACTGTTACAGAGATGTGGGACTCTACACTGAGGTAAACTCAATCAGTCTCACAGGTCTCACAATGAAAAGTTTTTTGAAAAAATATTAGATTAAATGTTTGTTGCTGCTCAAGGTATTAAGTAAAGACAATTAGAAAAGTATATGAAACACAATCCAATCAAACAATGCTTCGAACACTGCCTGTCTTGTGCACAAGACAGCCTGACCTAAAGGAGTTTTTATGGAGCCACCATCTAGTGGCAATGAGAGGAACTGCGGCTTAAAGCGCTTCACATATTAAAGCAGCAACAAGGAACTTTTATTTTGTGTTGCTTCTGGCAAACAAAAGCAGTAGTGTTTCTACCACTTAGTTTCATTGATTTCAAGGGAAATCTGACCAAATCTGATTTTTTTGTGGATGTAAAAGGTATGAAAAGTGAAAAAAAAGTCACTTTATTTTCAGTGGAAATGTCCTCACAACGACATAAAAACTGGAGTGTGTTTGTGCTTTTCACTACGGACTGCTTTATGAACGAGAGCCAGAACGGTTCAAGCTCTAGTATGCATCCATACTGGCTGTCCATGACCCAACTTCAAACTTCAAAATTGTAAGTTTATGTTGTTTTAATGTTTATTTTGTAGGTTAGCCTGTTTAACTTGGTGTTAGCATGTTGCACAGTGGTAATGTGGCTAGCGGACAGGGGACGTCGTTGGTCTAATGTTGTAATATTGAGGGACAGTAAAGAGAAACTGTGTCAACGTTAAGACTCATTGGAAGCATACTCAATAACGAGAGTAGAAGGTTGGATGCGTGTTGCTTTTTGTGTAACTTTGTTCCGCAGCGCCAGCTTTAGCTCTGTTAGCGTTAGCTTTGTTGTTATCCGTGTGTGTATGTTGCTACTGAACGTAAATCCACTCAATAGAGATGCCCTGTAAACCGTAACTGTATAGCTACGTTTGAAAAAATAAACAGTAAAATTGCAGGAATTAATTTGCTTGGCAATGTTGTGTAACTTTGATTTGCACCCAGCAGCTAGACCTATGTTAGCTTCCACATTGCGAAGAACAAACAGTGGATGGAAGCACGGTGGGCGGGGCCTGCTTCCAATGAAAAGTTTGGGTCTAACCAATCTGACCAATCTAAGCAGACTCTGGGGAGACAGGAGCTCAGACAGGATGAACAGAGGTGCTGCTGCAATGGCAGCATGACAAAATATAATGTGTTTTTTGAGCATTAAAGAATGTAAAGTTATTATAGTAGAAAATTAACAAAAGTAAAATAGCCAATCTTCTCACTGATGGTCTTGTGCGCTTATGTAGGTCAGATAGAGACAGTTTAAAACTCCTTGTAGTAGTTTTAAATACCTCTGTACACAAGAAATATAAAAATGGCAACTCACAGCTTTACTGGTTGCCTGGCATGACATTAGTTCAGGAAGCTACTTTGCCTAGTCATGAAATTGTTACTTAGCATTTTTACATTTTGGTTTGTGTGCAAATGACAGAGAGTGGTATTGATCTTCTCATCTAACTCTTGGCAAGAAAGCAAAGAAGCATATTTCCCAAAACATTGTACAATTCCTAATAAGTTGTTTCTCACTTTGTTAAACCTTTGAAGACATCAGTTGGAAAGACTGCGACTTTGTCACAAATCCAAAACAGCCAACTCTATACTTGAATCCATCTGTCATATATAGTCCTTAATACGCCACATAGAAAAATAAGTCCTTGGCTGAAACTGTGGGTTCTGTTTTTACCATCTCACCATGAATTTGTACAGTTTTTTTCCTCCACCCTCCTCTAATAATGTTTATTTGTCTATTCCACTTAAAGTCAGACACAGCTGTAAGTTTGATTTTACAGAGGTTGCTCAGGATATTTAGCATTTATTCCATCAAGCCTCAGTGTCACAATAGGGCTCATCCTTGGTAACAAGTAGAAATACAACTACACTACTGTACTAATATACTATATTATACAACTATAAATTAGGGCTGCACGATATGGTAAAGATTATCATATTGTGATTATTTTGGCAGATATTGCGATATAGTGGGAAAGATAATTTTTGCATCACAATTTGAATTGTCTTAAATGCATAAAAAGTTGCAGCTTCTTGCAATTTGGATATTGCATTTGGCCATACTGAGATTTGGATAATATTTCGATTAATTGTGCAGCCCTACTGTAAATTACTTCCATAAGAATACATCAGTATGGAAAGAAATAATAGGATAATTAGGAGCAAACACTTTAGACACAAAGAAAATTAAGGCAAGGAAATGTCTAAAGACCAAAGTCTGTCAGTCTAATTTAACAACATGAAGTTTGACTGTGTGAATATAATAATGTAATGGTTCATAATTGGGCAGCAGGCCATAATTCAACAGCAATATGCCAAGGCCTGACTCTGTTGATGCTTTACTAATTGGTAGAGATGAATCACACTGACCTTACATGACTCCTGATGATCTTAACTAACTACAGGCTGTGGACTAGCATATCTAAAATGTCATCAGTGTGAAACATGGTTGATAATGAATTCTCCACAGCCATCTCCATCTTCTATCTGCACATAAAACACATCCCGATTTCAAATAGATCACAGCATCTGCGATGCAAATGCAAATGAACACAGCAAGCATTTCATGGGTACCAATGTGGAGGATGCAGATTAATGTCGGTCTGAATAAATGCCAGTTTTTCACATGATAAACGTTTATCCTAAAGTTTAAATTAAAGCAGCTTTGGAAATGGTTTATAATTGACAAATATATTCTGGACACAAGTTTTTAAAAACTGCTGAAGTTAAGGCATCCTAAACATGTAAACTGACACCTAATATCACACAAAAAATCTCCAGTGAAGGTCAGTCTTTTATAACTATATAACTTAATGAACCACCATGAACGGTACAACTGTCACACAGCCAAAACACTCTAAAAATAAATCCCTGGCTGAAAACCACCATCTGTCACACATCACAACACCAAACTGTCACCAAAGGCAATCTGTCTGGGCTCTGAGCATCAGTGAATTCCTGTCAACTTCCCGCTCTCTGTTCCCTCCTCTTGATTCTCTCCTCAATCTGTTACACTGGTGGCGGCTGCACAACTCCCCTCTGTGTGCTTTGACAAGTTATCTATCATGCATTAGTGATGGCTGTCTTTGTATAAGTTCCTCTTCATGAACTCATTCTGTACATATTCTTTATTTTTTATTGTCTTTGATCCCACAATGTAGAGCCAGATCCGTTACATAAAACAAAAAGTCTAGTGTGTCTCAAACTGGTTTGTTGTATGTTCCAAGAACCATAAAATCTTTTGGACAGGTTTGCACCAACTAAGCAGCATAAACACAATTTACTGTTAGTTATAATAAAATTGGGTTCAATAGTAGCTGTGGGAGAAGCTTCAGCAAAATTAGAGAGGATCTTCTTGTCAAATCAAGAGGATATCTTTCAAAGTTACATCGTGCAGCACTAAATCTTTTAAGTACAAAATTCCCACTTTGTGTCCCTCCATTACAGCTTGACAAGGCAACGATGCCCAGAATAACACAAACAGAATGGTTCATAATAAAAAGAGTGTAACTGTGGAAGATACCCACATGATTTTTCTAACATATTTCCTTCACATAAATTACAAACAAATGTTTGCTCAGAATGAATCTTTTAATGATTGGAATGGAACAAATACATGTGTCAGAAAAGGCTGGGCTGAAGCTGAAGTTCTGTGGACCAATGAAAATATTGTTACCTTTTTTTAACATTTGTTTCAAAATCTCCTCTCTTCATCTGGAATTGAAATCAATATGTCCAAAAATAACATCTTTGACTTTTAGGTTCAAGCCAAGGCAAAAGAAATACAATAACAAGCAAAAGGAGAGTGCCCCTACAAAATGTGCACCATTTACATAGACACTGTATCATCTTATCTTATATGTGATGAATTTTCATAGTAAAATATGATAAAGAATTATTCCTTCAATATTTCCTTCACAATGACAGAAATGACTAAACAAGCGCAACTATGTTTCTAAATCCACCATGATCTACAAGCACACACTTGTTTTAGGTCTAATGTCAGGTACTTTAAGTAGTGTTGCCAAATTCTGACCTTCTGTCTAGTGTGTTTTACACTGTAGGTACTGTACAATCTTAACTGCATATACAGTGTGTTTATCTGTTTTTTTAACAGGCAAAGCAAGTTCCTGGCGTGACTATACTCTCCTGTTCCAGTCCTATTTACTTTGCCAACTCTGAATTTGTGTTCACAGAAATCAGACAGGTACCAACACAAAAAAACGCACGCACACACACACACACACACACACACACACACACACACACACACACACACACACACACACACACACAAAAAAACACATGAGGTGAAATAAATATGATTGGGAAGATGGAGAGAAAAAAGTAAGTGCATTACCATCTGTAAAATGAGAGATGATTTTGAAAGAGTTAGAAATTGAGAGATGGGGTTATAATTGTAATTAGGAATATAAATTAACCTAGATAATTACCAGTCCCACAGTTCATCTTTTCCAATTGTAGGTTACAAGTCCATCAATATACGGACACAAGTTTCAGTGGCGGTAATACACGTGGTGTGTGTATGCAGCTGGCATGTATGTGTGTCTGTCTTTGTGCTTTGATCCCTCTGTTTGGAACAGAAAGATTGCACAAGGATTTTTGAAGAAGTTCTGATATACCATGTCCCCACCACACCAGACAGTGAGTCGAGGTCAGAAGGAGAATCCAGCTAGAGTCCACACTACTACCTCTTCCTCCTCATCTTCCTCTAACTCCTCAGCCCAGACATCGACACATACTCATTGCTTGGTTCTGAATCTCAGCTCGGTCAACTTCATGGACTCTGTGGCTGTGACAGCACTTTGCAAGGTGAGGAAAGAAACCTTACTGGAGCGCAAACTCATCTTCAGATTTATTTTGGCTAATTTAAAATCACCAAAACCATCTAATAACTGATTTATCTATACCTATATTTTCTATTTGGTGCATGGCACTCATTAGTGTGGGAATTAAACTGCCCAAAAGTTGTCCGTCAATCAAACAGCGTGGCAGTACGGTGGCATCCTTGCCTGAAATTCTATTTTGATTAACTTTTAGTTTTTGCAGGTGGTACTTTTCTTTGTCTCTCTAAGAAATAAATGTAACACACTTTTATTACATTTAACACTCATGTAATAAATAGTCTTTCTAATACTAAACCTACAAAGAACTATGGCAGCCCTTTCTACAAGGAAAAAAGGATTAAAAGTTATGCAAGTTACAGATAAAAAATACTTGTGGTAAGTCAAAACTGTGCAATGCTAATCAAAGACATTTACTAGATCTAATCTTATGACTAGACGTCCATTAATTGCACAATAGATAATGAAAATATGATACACACCGTCTCACAGTTGCACACACACACCTCATGCAGCTTTTGAATTATAGATGGGTTAACAGTTGTACTTATATAACTTTGTTATCTCTTCTTTACTTTGACCTTAATGATAAAAGAACAAAATTTATTCATGTGCCTCACAGTCAACATGTGCTTTAGTATGACTATATATTAAGTAAATTATTTTCATGAAGTATTGTGTGTGTGTGTGTGTGTGTGTGTGTGTGTGTGTGTGTGTGTGTGTGTGTGTGTGTATCACTCACCAGGTTGTAGAAGACTTGGAAGTCCAAGGTGTCTGTGTGTTTCTGGCAGCATGCCCAGGTCAGCTTCATGTTTCTCCTTTATATCTCTCACGCACACTCATTCACTTACACACTCACACAGACACACACACACACACACACACACACACTGTTGTTGGCCTCTTATTGTTTTCGCAGGTCAGTTTCCCACCACCCCTACCATTACTTTCCATTTACCTTTCTGAGCTTCATGTACAGTAACTGTTTTTCAACAGAGAGAGTTTTATCCATGCTGCAGACTCACAGTCATATACCAGACCGCCTGCCCAGCTCCTGTCTCTTCCCGTCGGTCCATCATGCTGTCCAGCGCTGGCTCAAGACTCTACACAAGCCTCTGGAAGTATGATATATCTTGCTTCAATGTTAATTTGTAGACATTGAGTTCAGTTTTTCAATGCTTTCGCAGTTTAGACCACAAGTCATTGTAGAAGCCCAGTGTGTAACTGTGTATAATCACCTGAAAATAAGAATTGTTGTTACCTTAGAATGAGCCGTTTTTATCTACAGAGGGAGTTAGTCCTCTCTCCACTGTGTTAAACTGCCATGTTTCTAAAGTAGCCCAGAACGGACTAACTAAACACTGGCTATATTTAGGCCACTGGCTATATACAGTTTATTATATTTTTGCGAGCTTGTGGCCACTGTAGTTTCTCCTACACACTTGGAAGGCTGAGCTGTGTTGAAGTGGTTGCAATCTGCAACTTCACCACTAGATGCCACTGAATTCTGCACACTGGACCTTTAAAATATATTTCAAACTGTCAGTTGTTGAGTTCTGTTGTGGGTAATGTAGTGGCAGGTTTTGTCAAGGAAGAAAAATCTGTGGAATAAAAAAGGTGATATCTCTGATTAAAAATTTGTGATGACATATTGTTGAATATAAAGTGTAAAATAGCATTTTAAGGTATTTTAATGTTGGCATAATTTGTTTTTATCTCTTCTCAGGAAATCACCCCAGATGCGAGTGAATGTTAAACCTACAAGGTGACTGTTGTTTTTCAATGTAAATTACAGGATAGTTAAGGCACTAAGGCTTTACGATGGCAGACAGAACAACCACAGCCTAAGTTTATTTTGAAAGAAAGCCAATAACACTTTTCACAGTATGTATATGCATACACTTCTCACACATTTGCAGACAATAAATGTAATTGTTACCAACCATTATTGATCTCTCTGTCATGAAGTATTTCGGTTTTGATTGAGACTGCCCATCTGCTAGTAAAACACATATCTGATTTTGATCCATTGATTGATGCTTCTGCCACACACTGCTATCTAAACAGACTAAACTGAACTAGCTTGGAGAGAGAGTGAGTACAAATGTGGGTTTAATCCATGTCAGCATATCAGTTGGAAAGCAGTAGAAGAGGCCACGCAGTGCCTTATCCATTAGGCCACTGGGGCTTCATTGACAGTTGTAGCAAGATAATGTAGACAATAAAGACAGAAGCGTGAACAATTAAATTTAAAGTAACACAAGATGAATAATTCTAAATTCATTTGTCAGACAATAGTAACTACTGTTAAATCTGTTATGCAATAACTTAGTAGACCTAATAACTGTAACACTCCAGAATGACAGCTTCCAACAATTGCACAATAACAAAGTACAACAAAAAATAACTCCCATACATACTGTAGATGGGAGTTGACTTTGTTTTTAAAATCTCAGTCTGCCCAAGATAAAGTGACAATGACAGAGCTGATTTACCGTAGGTGACAGAGACCAAAAATATGTGGATGGTGCCCCTTCTGTATTTTTTTAACAGTTCCTCTTACATTGTGCTGTTCAGGTCCAGAAAAGCAATTCCACTGGTTTATGGCATAAATTAATGTGATTATATTTATTTGTAACTCTATTTATCATAAAAACATAACAAAAGCTAAGTTTGTACACAGCATGAAAAGATGTTTTTAACAATAATACAAACTACAAAACAGGAAACAAAACAGGCAAACTTAACATGTATTTAACATTGAATATAAAATGAGACAATAAGTTCAACAAATTAAGCAATTCTCCACTTGTGGCTGTGTGATTTGGCCTTCACAGTGGACTTTACCAAGTACCTCTCAGAGCTGAACATCAGGCTCCACAGCACCAACCAGCTCCTCTGCTCTCTGCTTTCAAATAGGAAATAATTTGAAAGATGTGGCAAGTGAAACTGGAAAAGGGAAACACTGTGCATTTTTGTACCCTGCAAGAACAAAAGCCTTCTTTAACATCTGAATATGCAGGTGAGTGTGAAAAACCCCTTAAGGTGTTTAGAGAGAGGTTTCAGGACATGAAAAGCATACAAAAGAGACAGCACATATTTGCCACACCATTTAATGTGAAACCAGCTGATGTGCCTGACAACCTACAACATGAAATCATTAAGCTGCAAAAGAATGACAAGCTCAAAGCAAGGTACAATAACTTCCTCTTTTCTGGAGTTTCATTCACTGTATGAACGTCCTGAGGATTTTCCCATTTTGAGGGAACATGCCCAAAGTTTGCATCTCTGCTCGGGACAGCCTACTACTGTGAATAGTTCTTTTCGAAACTGACTTCTGCAAATACTTGGTTCCTCTCAACGGTGAAAGACCCAAACCTGGAAACCAGCTGCGAGAAGAACCATCTAACTACCTTGCCAAAAGATTAAGCAGTCACATTGAAGTGAGTGATATGTGTTCAATAAGTAAGTATGGCCCTCAATGTCATACCTGCCCTAGACAGTGAACACCACAGTTGAGTCATTGTGATAAGACTGGGTTTCTTACTGATAAAATAAATATTAGGGAGTCATAATTGATCCCTCCCTCTTATTGAACTTCTGATAACACTTATCTGGTACAAGCCCTGTGAGTCATATTAAGGAAATAAACAGGGGCAGAGATCAAATTTCATGGTTCGTTTAGGAAAGGATCATTTCAGTATATTATAAAAAGTAACATGTAAGATAACTCTTGCATGTTTTGTTCACATAAAAATGTAGTATTTGCAACCCTTATTTATGTGGCTTGAAGAAGAATGGATCGTTATGACATTTACACAATCAATGGAAGAGGTGAAGATTTTTTAGAACATACTAGCCCACACACATGTGAGACAACTGCATAATTACACAAGTATTCCTTATTCCTAATTCCATCAACTGACAGAAACTGGAAAACTATCTGATCCATCCTACTGGGACAAATTCCCAATATGCAATTTGCTGCACCACTCTGCTGTCAAAAACCACAGCCTGCACTCGAATGCAGAATTCCTGGCAAGTTCAGTAATGGCTTCACTCGTGATTACCAAGTCTGCCTCATTCACATGAGGATGTTCGTAGCTGGACTGGAAAACACAAAGTTGAAAGAACCAATTGATGACCAGCTTCGTGATTCCAGTCAGGCTCAATTGGGTTTAATACATGTGGCCCTGTCAATGAGTCAGTCAGACTCAGTGAAGCCAAGGAGGGTCAGAATGGAATGTAGTTGCTTGGGAATTATTAACTCTGATTACTTGACCCATTCTACTACTTGACTACAAATGTGTTTTTTAGAGAGCAGAGGAAGAGACAGGGCTTTGGGCTCAAAGATGGTTAAGAAATTAACAAGGAGGAGATTCTTGATTGCAGTTAGGCTCAGTCAAGCCATACTCAATTGAACCCATGATCTCTCCACAGAATGAGGATCATTATCTTGGGCTGGACTGTGCTGTTGAAACGTTGAAAGTAACTTCAAACATATGTTTAATACATGTCATGCTGTCAACGTCCTGCCAGTAAAGCACCAATAACTAATAGCAGAGGATGGTTTCGATGCATCGACCTCTGGGTTATGGGCCCAGCACGCTTCCGCTGCGCCACTCTGCTGTAAAGCACCCCAGATGGGACTCGAACCCACAACCCCTGGCTTAGGAGGCCAGTGCCTTATCCATTAGGCCACTGGGGCTCGATGGGCCTAAAAGACAGGCAGTTGGAAAGACATACAGTGAGTTCCACTGCAACGCAAAAACATGGGAAGCTGCACAATGGGTGGCTTTGTATAACATGACAATGGCCCCTGACGCTACTGTGGCAGTGTAAGAAAAAACAGAAAGAGGAGGGGCAGAGAGGTGAGAGAGGTGGACACAGAGTAAAGCTTTGACATAAAGGGGAACAGCAGAAAAAGTGTGCCAAAATGTGTCCAAAAGATTGATTGACACAGATTGATTCCATCACTTGGGTTCAAAGATGGTTAACAAGGAGGAGGAGGTCCTTGATTGCAGTTAGGTTCAGTCTAGGCAGACTCAATTGAACTCACTTGGTGATAGATGCCACAGGGCGAGGATCATTATCTTGGGCTGGACTATACTGTTGAGACATTGAAAGCGACTTCAAACATGGGTTTAATACATGTCATGCTGTCAACGTCCTGCCAGTAAAGCACCAATAACTAATAGCAGAGGATGGTTTCGATCCATCGACCTCTGGGTTATGGGCCCAGCACGCTTCCGCTGCGCCACTCTGCTGTCAGCGACTGCATTTGGGACTCCTATGCACAGTTCCTTGCTTACGGGTCCTCTGCCGCTTGAAAGGCATCAAATTGAAGAGTTCAGTTGTGGCACAAAGTGGCTCGTAATTACCAGCTCTGACTCATTAACGTGAGGGTGTTCGCAGATGGACTGGAAAACCCAGGGTTAACAGCTCCAGTTGACGACCAGCTTCATGATACTGGATTTCTAGGATTACCAATGTTGGGCTCAGTAAAGGCAAGTCACCCAAAGATGTATGTCAAACTCAGTGAACAACCAGCTTCTTGATTCCGGTAAGACTCAATTGAACCCGCTTGGTGATAGAGTTACCAGAGCCAGTTAACGTCCAGCTTCTTGATTCCGGTCACACTCAATTGAACCCACTTGGTGATAGAGGCCACGAGGATCATTACCTCTGGCAGGAATCCACTGTTGAGCCGTTGAAAGCCACTTCAAACATGGGTTCAATACATACCTGTAAACGAGTCAGTCAGGCTCAGTGAAGCCAAGTAACCAAAGGAGAGTCGGAATGGCATGTAGTCGCTTGGGAATCATTAACTCTGATTACTTGACCCATTCAGAAGGACTACAAATGTGTTTTTTAGAGAGCAGAGGAAGAGACAGGGGTTTGGGCTCAAAGATGGTTAAGAAATTGACAAGGAGGAGCTTCTTGATTGCAGTTAGGCTCAGTCAAGCCATACTCAATTGAACCCATGATGTCTCCACAGGATGAGGATCATTATCTTGGGCTGGACTGTGCTGTTGAAACGTTGAAAGTAACTTCAAACATATGTTTAATACATGCCATGCTGTCAACGTCCTGCCAGTAAAGCACCAATAACTAATAGCAGAGGATGGTTTCGATCCATCGACCTCTGGGTTATGGGCCCAGCACGCTTCCGCTGCGCCACTCTGCTGTAAAGCAACCCAGATGGGACTCGAACCCACAATCCCTGGCTTAGGAGGCCAGTGCCTTATCCATTAGGCCACTGGGGCTCGATGGGCCTAAAAACGACAGGCAGTTGTAAAGACATACAGTGAGTTCCACTGCAACGCAAAAACATGGGAAGCTGCACAATGTGTGGCTTTGTATAACATGACAATGGCCCCTGACGCTACTGTGGCACTGTAAGAAAAAACAGAAAGAGGAGGGGCAGAGAGGTGAGAGAGGTGGACACAGAGTAAAGCTTTGACATAAAGGGGAACAGCAGAAAAAGTGTGCCAAAATGTGTCCAAAAGATTGATTCCGTCACTTGGGTTCAAAGATGGTTAAGAAATTAACAAGGAGGAGGAGCTCCTCGATTGCAGTTAGGTTCAGTCTAGGCAGACTCAATTGAACTCACTTGGTGATAGATGCCACAGGGCGAGGATCATTATCTTGGGCTGGACTGTACTGTTGAGACGTTGAAAGCGACTTCAAACATGGGTTTAATACATGTCATCCTGTCAACGTCCTGCCAGTAAAGCACCGATAGCAGAGGATGGTTTCGATCCATCGACCTCTGGGTTATGGGCCCAGCACGCTTCCGCTGCGCCACTCTGCTGTCAGCGACTGCATTTGGGACTCCTATGCACAGTTCCTTGCTTACGGGTCCTCTGCCGCTTGAAAGGCATCAAATTGAAGAGTTCAGTTGTGGCACAAAGTGGCTCGTAATTACCAGCTCTGACTCATTAACGT